TTAAAAAAAAATACGGTTGCGTTTCAATGACATAATAATCTGCCCTGCTAATTGTACTTGCAGTAATCGTCATTTTTGTGATTTTCACTTTTTTGCAAAAATGACATCCCAAGGAGATAATCTATCACTATTATATAATATACCACCAACACCTTGTGCAGACATGCGGCCCCATATCATAAGAGACGCCGGCAACTTTACTTTGCGTTTGAGACAATCAGTAGGTATGAAATGCCTCATTTTTGTTCCGAATCACTTTTTTCTTTTCATCGCCGACTGTCACTTCAAATTTGGACTCGTCACTCTAAATGATACTACGCCACTGGTCGGAAGTCCAATTTAAATGATCACGAGCAAACCTCAACCTCTTTTTCTTTTGTACAGCAGTCAACAGTGGTTTCTCCTTAACGTTGTAAAATCCGTAACCCATTCTTTTTAGGACTCTTTTGCAAGTATCAACTGAGACGTCTTTGTGAATCATGTCCTCCCATTGCACCGTGAGTTCTCCAGCTCGAGCACGACGATTATTTTTGATAATTTTCTTTAGGATTCTGTTTTCTACTGCACTTGTGATGCGTGGTCGACCAGTTTTCTTCAAACAAGAAGTCATTCTATTCTTTTTATAGTGCTGAATGATAGATTGGACTGTAGACCTGGGAAGTATCAAGTCTTTAGATATTTTGTAACTTGATTTGCCAGCATCGACCCCACAAACTATTCGCTTTCGAAGCTCTTCACACACGGGTTTGCCACGACCCATTGTTATTTGAAAACTAATGAAAAAGACTGAAATTTTCAGAATTTGTACTGTCTCACTTGACAAATGACACAGAATTACTTTTACAAATTTAAATTATGCAACATAACTGTACAAAGAAGGAATTCTAATAATAATCTTATTGAACTTCGGTGAGACAGACGAACTCTTTTGCATCAATTAACAATTAGACGAACTATTTTGCTTATAACTTCTTCGAATTTAAAACAGGATATGTATAAATTTAAAAAGCTAAAATAGTTTATTGGTTAATAATAAAAAATGACATAAGTAACGTGACATATCATAGTGTGTGCGTTACCCCAGCAAAATAATGTCGAAAATGGTCATTTAAACGTTATAGATAATTAGTTGCTCCCCTTCTGTAATTGTTAGGCACATTTTTAAATTTGTTTCACTTAAACTTTTTTAGTTATTTCAAAAAAACATTTCCTGCTGGGGTAACGTTTGAAACGTTACCGCAGCCAGACATTTTCTTTTTTAATTGTAATATTGAAATAAATTTTAGCTAAATAATTAGTTATCTGGACTAGGTAAATGTTACAACTTATTTGGTAGTTGTATTTTCTTCGGCTGCGAAGTTATTCGAAATCCTGCTGGAGTAACGTTTGTGGGTTTGCTGGATATCTGAAACGGGTAAGCGGATTGTAACCGTTTTTTGTACATAACTTTTTAAGGACAATAAAATAACAAAAATAATGGACCGTTTAAAAATTATTTAGGTAAGTATGAAAACACTTCAATACGTCCTAACACTTTAAATAAGACCTCTAAAGACTTACTTGAAACGTTATTCTATTGCTTGTAACTACCTTCAAATGTATACGAATTTTCGTAAGAATACTGTAAGTGACTAAAAAGTTATGATGAAATGTAGCTCTCCACGTTCACGATCACAATGTATGCGGCCTTTTTTGGCCACCGATAAACCTGTGTGTGGATATATAAACTGAATATTATGCCAATAATTAGTTGTTTAGTTCAGTTGTCTACCTGTAGAATTTCAGCGTCGTACATATAATAATTTACGAGATAATTAAATAAAAGTCATTACAAGGTGCAAGTCCGTGGTAATCCGACCATGTTTAGGTGGTTACAAAAAAGCGATCACCCAGTACATTGCGCTGTCTTTTAAAATGTTTAGTGTAATACACCTTACGATTTCGGTACAGTTGCGTACAGTGTTAAATACGTTCAATATTTATTCATTATTATTACCTATTATTTATTTTGTTTTTTCCCTAATTGATCTTAAGCACTAGTTTCTTTACTTAAAATTTATTTAGTCTTTTTTACTACCGGAGCTACAATCAACAGAAAATCTGCACTGGTCCGCTAAAATTATAAATATGTAGATAAATGTATGAACGATTCACCTGACTGCAATAAAACGAAAATTTAAACCAATAAGACATCGTTTCATTTCTTTGATTTTTTTTCGTAAAGAAATAACACTAAAGTAATTGTATTTCATTTAGGGGTGTATAGAGCTTAGACTTGAATGCATCAAAATATTTAAAGCAACAAGTCATCTACAATAAGTTAAAATAGACCGAATAGTAGAAGAATACAGTTGTAAATTAGAATGCATCAACATTGCATCGTCCAACAGTCGTATACCTCGTAAGAGTAGGTAATATTGTTCTGTGGTCTATACCTAGAACCGAGAATTATCTATACCTATGTACCTACCGTTAAGCGTTGAGCCCGTGACTGTTGATTTCTGTTAAAAACGAACAGTTGTTGAATGATATTTTGATGTAATAACGGTAATTTAATTTATCGAGTGAAAGTGATACATTTTTATAGATAAAATTATTGGTCAGATAATATTTGTCAATCAAGAATCGCTGATAATACATCCTTCGCTAGAACGCGGGAGGGGAGGGGCGAAGGGATACTTCATTGTTTGCAATTTGCATTTAGTGCACTAAACTTGACCCTTAGGCAGATAATATACGTGTTGTAAAGTACGTGTGAGCTTCCGCTTTCTATTTTTGCAAATATTTATCGTATTCTTGATAGTTCTTCAATATGTGTGTACCTAATTACTAATAATGGGCATTAATGCTAATTCGATTCAATTTAAGTAATTGTCAATTCTTGTCTTAGGATATTAATTACTAATGCTAATATTGAAATTTCGTTCAGGGTGAACAAATTAAAAACGATCATAACTTTTAGGTAGGTATAGCACTTATTACTAATTTTACATAAATAATTTATTTTATTATAATTTAACTCACCGCGATTTTGTGATCAAATATTTTATTTTCTCCAACATTATTACAGAAATAATGCAATACAGAGTTTGTTCGCGATATGCTAGCCTAAGTCGATTCATCACTTAAAAAAATCCCCATCTATTCACAAAATACCTATTTACAACGCATACGTTACACTCTTCAAAACTTATCGTTTCATTTCATTTCATTTCATATTTCTTAAATTACCTATACCTACCCTAAAATTAAACTTCAATTAACAAATACTACGCAGGTACCAATTCTATGAACTACTATAAACAATTTACCTAAACATTACGAGAAAACAAAAGCATTCAAAACAATACCTAATCTCCCAGCTGATTACTAATTATGCAATAAACAATCCTAAATAAAAAATATTAAAAAAACATGTAGTTTTTTTGTAACACTTATGTACATATCCGTAGTAAACTTGCAAAAAATATCCTACATATTTTAAAAGCCAGCACAATGTACTGGGTGATCGCTTTTTTGTAACGACCTAAACATGGTCGGGTTACCACGGTCTTGCACCGTCTAATGACCTTTATTTAATTATCTCGTAAATTATTATATGTACGACGCTGAAATTTTACAGGTAGACAACTGAACTAAACAACTAATTATTGGCATAACATTCAGTTTATATATCCACACACAGGTTTATCGGTGGCCAAAAAAGGCCGCACACATTGTGATCGTGAACGTGGAGAGCTACATTTCATCATAACTTTTTAGTCACTTACAGTATTCTTACGAAAATTCGTATACATTTGAAGGTAGTTACAAGCAATAGAATAACGTTTGAAGTAAGTCTTTAGAGGTCTTATTCAAAGTGTTAGGACGTATTGAAGTGTTTTCATACTTACCTAAATCATTTTTAAACGGTCCATTATTTTTGTTATTTTATTGTCGAACAAATTAAAACTAATCCTTAAGAAGTTATGTACAAAAAACAGTTACAATCCGCTTAGCCCGTTTCCGAGATCCAGCAAACCCACAAACGTTACTCCAGCAGGATTTCGAATAACTTAGCAGCCGAAGAAAATACAACTACCAAATAAGTGGTAACATTTACCTAGTCCAGATAACTAATTATTTAGCTAAAATTTATTTCAATATTACAATTAAAAAAGAAAATGTCTGGCTGCGGTAACGTTTCAAACGTTACCCCAGCAGGAAATGATTTTTGAAATAACTAAAAAAGTTTAAGTCAAACAAATTTAAAAATGTGCCTAACAATTACAGAAGGGGAGCAACTAATTATCTATAACGTTTAAATGACCATTTTCGACATTATTTTGCTGGGGTAACGCACACGAAAAAATCTATCAGAGAAAATTTCACACTAGACGAACTATTTTGCATCAGGGCTCGTATATTTTACGTTACTTATTGTACTACTTTACTTACTATATAGTGCCTACCCAGACAAAGGCAATAGGTTTGGTTTTGTCCTCTTTCCATCCGTCCAGGTACAGAAGTCATACACCTTGCGCAGTAGTTCTTGGCCCTGCCTCTGGTTGCTTTTAACGATGGCAAGATTGTCTTTGAATGCTAAGATGGATTTCGTATTTACTAGTCTTATAAATAGATGCGTAATTGTTTTATTCCTTTACTTTGTCTTCTATCGTATGGCCATGTTTAAACTTTTAAAAACTTTTAAATGTCCCTCTCGTCAATTTGACAATTTGGTTCTTAGTGCAATATGTGAACTAAAGTATCGATATAAATATATTAGAGATTAAGGGATTGGTGAATCCATTTTTTTTATTGTGCTATGTAATAAAACAACTTCTTGAAAGAAATCATTTTATTTACAACTGAAAATAAATATACCTACAGTCAGTGTTGAAGTTTAACTTTCTTTGGTCTAGACTTAAATAATTTTTGAAGCAGGATTTCAATACTATTTTTTAATACATAACATTATTTATGTACAATAAATAAAAAGTATGTGTAGCTCTACTTTTAGTCTAACGTTTTTGGAAGCTGAATATCTTAAGGAGTACAAGTCCGACAACAGTTGCTGCGGCGACTCCAATACCTGCTTTCCACCACGAAGAACTTTCTCCCGTCAGACTGGCAAAGTGCTTCAAGTGCCTGCCAAGTAAATTATTACCTTAGCACAATTGATCAAATAATCTAGAATTAATTTGTATAACTATCTTTTACTGACCTGTGCTTGCTGAATAAAATCCAAGCAGCTTGAAATTGACTGACAAAGACAATTAAAATAACAGTATCGCAAATCAAGCAATGTTAATTGGTTGAAATAACCGTAACTACAACAGTAGATATACTGTATATCTGAGAACTTTGTAGAATGATTTAATAATAATGTTTTTTTTCGTTACTTCAAATTTAAACTGTATTGTTGCTTCTGTGCAAAGAGTTCTATTATCACTACATAAAGGATAAAAATTTAATTGAATATGTACTCATAGAAAGTTTTGCTTATTCCTTAAATTATTATTATTTTCATGGCTTTTTCAATGTTCTTCTCTTATACCCATATCTCTCAGCTCTCTCTGCTTATTTCATTATTTCTTCACGCGAACTGGGCCTACCTACCAGAGCTCGATGGAATATAAAAAATAAATTTTACAAAGCATTAACAATCAAATGTTTACTTACGGAAATGCAGCCATAGTGGCGAGTTTAACGAAGACATCGTGTTTATTTTCTCTAATGTTAAAGAATTGTGGAGGCAACAGTTGGTACTTATTACAGAACACCTCTGGCTGGAGGATGTACTCTTGTCTGGCTATCAAAGCATCACCTTTGGTTCCAACTATTAAAACAGGGATATGACTCTCGGCAAAGTATTTCTAAAACAAAGAAAACATACTTGTCAGTTAAAGCCTTTTATATAAGTAGACAATTAATAAAAAACATTAATGTACAAGATATGAAAAGGTTATCCGGTGAGTATCGAGTACTCGGCAATACCGAGTAGTATATTAAATATGGTACTTAATTTATTTCATTCATGTTGTGTGACGGTGTCTTTCAAACTTGTACACATTTATCTTTTTAATTTTTGTCTATTACTTGAATAGTAAGTGAATATACACAATAAGTCGCTATACTTTATAATAATAATGGTAACTACACACATCTCACACACGGCATGTAGCAGTGCTCATCACGCATCACATAAACGACAACGAAATCAAATTTCGACCTACGGCTTAGCAGTCAGAGGGCCAAGTGCGAGTTTATTTCACATCAACTCACTCACCATATTGGTTAAGATTTCAGTGCGGATTAATCGCAGCTCCGAAGCTGGTAATTGAATTAAATATATTTAAATAATCTTAGGTAATTTAAAAATATAATGCTACTTACAATATAAATCCTAGCGATATATTCAAAAGAACGGCTGGCAGCTACGTCGTAAACTAAACAGGCAACGTCACAGTTTACTTCGTGCGGCTGCAGTGGATCTGAGACACGTGTGATAGGTATTTCTTTCAAAACTAAGTACTTCTCCTGACCATACACCAGCACCGTGTTTATACAACAGTTCTCTAATGTATTACTATCGCCTCGTTCATTAGCATGTGGTTTTATTTTCTGAAATTATATAAAAAAATACTAAATATATATTTATTTTTAGAGATGATGGAATGTACACAATGTTTATCACTAAGCAACAAAATACTTTTATTTTCAGTAGGTTTACAATTTGATTTACTACATCACATCATTTTGTAGTGAAAACTACTTATTGAAGAATCAATTAGTATTTTTCAGTAGTGGTAAAATAGTAGAGTATTCTTAAGACTAACAGATTACCGATTCAAATTACGCTTACAATACGATATAATCGCATTACAGTCAACATTGGATGTTCAATACTTTACTACGAAAATACCTTTTATGACAGTTGTGAGATCAAGAGTTGATCGGAACTGAACTGACCGAAATTTTATTACGAGAATTGGCCCTCCGGTATACTAAAAAGTCGCTACGTCTTGACTTGAAAATTATATTATTATTATATTGTATAGTGTCCAAGAGCATGGTCACTATATACAGAGTTACAAGAAAAATCGTGCTAGATCCGTTAAGGGCGGATTGGAGTACCCGTCATTTTTGACTTATTTCACTATGAAACACTCTACCCTAAACTTAACCCTTTTCGAGATATTCGACTTTTAATTTTTTTATTGAAAATTGCTGATTTTTAGGCTACTACATTTATTTTTGTTTATTTTGTGTATCTTATTATTAGTGATGTGCCGGATCGTTAACAAAGTATATCCGCGGATACGGATCCGAATACGGATATTTGGTGTCGAGATCCGCGGATACGGATACGGATCTTAAGTTTCTTACTCAATCGGAGCCCGTGACCTTGATAGTTGTCGCCACTTGACGATTTGCCGTTGATATTTAAATATTTCATTATTTTAATAAGCTAATACAAAGATGTTTGATTGATCTCATTATAAAGATAGCTCTTTAAGTACCTACGACCTGCCTAGTTGATTTAGTGTAGTACGATAAATGATTGCAATACAAAGATGCCAAATATTTGTTTTAAGAAATAAAAAGTAATCTGAACAGAATTCAATAGTTTTTCATAGCTACCTAATAACCATTATTCCGGGTTATTTTAAATTTACTGAAAACCTCTGATGTGCATATTAGTAACATTATAAACAACAACTTTTTTTCTGGACTAACACCGAAAACGAAAGAAAAAAAATTGTTTCTCCATAAAAACTAACAACATTTGATTGGTCATTTGAATGGAGGACCAATTTTTTTCATTTTGACGTTAGCCAGAAAAGAAGTTGCTGTTTATAGTGTTACAAACACATACCTAAGAGTTTTACAGTGAATACAAAATCACCTATATAGAATTTCATCTATGTCTTAAAAGATCCGCCAAAAAAGTCACGGACACGGATACGGTTACGGATCTCTCTTCTCCCTTGGATATCCGCGAATACGGATAAGGATACGGATATCCGGCACATCACTTTATTATTATTGCATTTTTACATGTGTAATAAGATGCTTTAGGACGTCAATAATTAAAATTGTGCATAACTTAATTGAATAGACCGTAGTAGAAGAAATAAAAACAAAATATTAGAAAATTATTTTACTCTAACGGATATCTAAAAACAATATTATGGTAATTGAAGACTGGTGGTTCGGCAGATGTTTTTTAAAATATCTACGTTTCATCAGCTATTTAACGAGGTATAACAATCTAGGGTTTATATTACATTTCGTGGAAAAAAAGTAGTTGGGACGGTAGCAGTTCTAACGGTCCCGCGCCTATTGTCCTTCAAGTTAAGACACACGAAGCGAGAGAGACAAGTGACGATTTATGTAGGTGCGAATGAAAGAAAAAATGTGTAGAGACCGGTTAGGGCTCGGAATACAACAGAGGGCATTGTTTGGTTGTCACTAGTTGTCAGTCTGCTTTTGGGCTTCGTACATAGTAGATGTGATATCGTGTTGCTCTTTTTCTCGACTTGGCTGTGATTCTGGACTATTTCTTCTGATTTGTGACTACTGTGCTTGTTAACCGGACTCTGATTTGTACCTGTGATACGGAAGTGTTGAAGATGACGTCCTACACAACTGAGGAATATGCTGATATGCTTATTTGTTACGGATACTGGGATTGTGTGTCTGCGCAAGCTCGCAACGAATACATAACTCGCTACCCCGGTCGTCGAGTGCCGGATGTGGCCGTTTTTGACAGAGTTTATCGAAGAAACTGGCTCTGTTTTGAGACGAAATACAGACATGGGAAGACCACGAATTGACGACAAGTTACACACGGTACACGTTATTGAAGAAGGAGACCCCGCGAGAAGATTGGACTTTTGCAGATTTATGCTAAATGCTGACGTAGAAGACCCAGATTTTCTAAGAAATATCTTGTGGACGAATGAGTCCAAATTTGATAAAGATGGCATAACTAACTATCACAACGCCCATTACTGGGCCCCAAAAGAACTAAGGAATCCCAATAAGAAAAGAGTGAAGGGCATTATCTCCAATCATTTGATTGGACCTTACTTTCTCCCTGATAATCTAAATGGGGAAAGCTACGAAAATTTCCTGAGCAGACTTGAGTGATTTGCAGGATGATCTGCCACTCAACCTGATCGGGGACATGTGGTTCCAACACGATGGCTGCCGTGCCCATTTCAGGTGAAGTGTCAGGGACTGGCTGGACACAAATTATCACAACAAATGGATAGGACGAGGTGGGCCGTTGCCATGGCCAGCAAGAAGTCCGGACCTAACCCCCATGGATTTACAAGTGTGGGTGTGCATGAAAAGTCTTGTGTACAGCTAGCCGAATCCAGTTTCGTCTGTGGAAGACTTAAGAGAAAGGATTGTGGATGCAGCAAATAAAATGAGCACCACGTTGACCACTGGAGTAGTGAAGACTGGTCTCCGTAGAAGGATGCGACAATGTATCAGAAATAGAGGAGGCCATGTTGAACATGAACTGTAGAATAAGAAAACGTTGTGTGAAAACCTTTAATAAATAACATTTCATGCTTAACTATTGTTTTATTTTACTTTTTTGGGCTAAGTATAAATTTTCTTCTCCACTGTCGCCTATAAAACTAAAGTTTTTCAATGCATTTGAATAAAACCTTAGATTATTATACTTCGTTAGATAGCTGATGAAACGTATAATAGATATTTTAAAAAACATCTGCCGAACAATTACCCTAATATTGTTTTTAGATATCCGTTAGAGAAAAATAATTTTCTTATATTTTTTTTTAATTTCTTTACTTTCACTTGTCTACTACGGTCTATTCACTTAACTTATGCACTATTTTAATGATTGACGTCCTAAAGCATCTTATTACACATGTACAAATGCAATAATAATAAGATACACAAAATAAACAAAAATAAATGTCGTAGCCTAAAAATCGGCAATTTTCAATAAAAAAAATTAAAAGTCGAATATCTCGAAAAGGGTTCAGTTTAGGGTAGGGTGTTTCGTAGTGAAATAAGTCAGAAATAATGGGTACTCCACGCCCTTAACGGAACTAGCACGATTTTTCTTGTAACCCTGTATAGCATAGCTGATATCTGTTGGTACTGACTTTAATTTAAAACAGGGATGTTAGACGTACCAATTTCTTGGTATACGTACCATTATTCAGGGTCTTCTACCATGTACCAACGTTCTACGTTGATCATAAATATATAAATAAATGTTTTATCTAAGAATATATAAGTTTTTGCTGTACGTCACAGTTACAACATTGATTATTGTAAAAATTTACTGCTCATAATGATATTTATTTTTGACGCATTAAGTAACTTACTTCAGATTAATATAATCAATCGAGCGAAGTATCCTTGGATGACGGGTATGATTTTGTCAGAAAATAATATAAAAAATTATTTCAATTAAACTCATAGTTGATTTTTTTCAAATTACGTATAGCCATTTATAAGATCTAATAATAAAAACGTCAACAACTAAAGAGAATAATTATTATTAGTTATAATATTGATAATTACATATTGTAAATTTTTATCAGGTATGATTTCTTTTAAATAACCAAGAATTTTTTCGATAATACAAAATTTCATTTAAAAGAACACAAAATAAACTATTCATTTTTTTTTATTAATATAACGTTATTGTGTGTGTACCAACTTTTTTCAAATACCAGCTTTCAGAGCCTTTTAGCGGCATCTGTACTAGCTTTGGTTCACCACAATCTAACATCCCTGATTTCAAAATATTTACTGAATTTATTAATCTTGGGTAACGGCAAGTCGATCATTTTTTGTTTGTTTTTAACAGAAACACAGTTTTAAACAGTTTTGAATAAAGACCAGTAAACCAAACATTTTCGTTTGTTAGGAGAAAGTGTTAATTAAGTTCTAACTACCTTGAGTTTTCTACAAATAAAGAAATCGAAGACAAGTCCTAGGTAGGCACCTCTAGCACTTCCACTTAGTTTAAATTGTATGCGATTGTTGTGGATATTATTGATGTTATCAAAAAATATTTTTTTACAACATCATTATTATTGACAATAATAACATTCCTATGACACGTTAAATAAGTCCGACAGAATAGACTGCAATTGAGATAATTGTAATAAGTTTAATTATTTCAATAAATGCTTATTCTTTTCAAGGTTAGACAACACAGATACAATTAGACACTACTCTATGAAGTCTATGATGATGATGGTGTTGATGATAAGATCTATCTCAATGCATATAATATTCTTAGCACATTTCGGCAGAAACCAGTCGCTCACAAATATCGAATAACATCACTTTGACATTGATTCTTGCTCTTCAGGTAATCTGGTAATAAAATGAGATGTAATGTACCTTATGGGCTATACCGAGAAAGCTCCTACAAATAGATGTTTTTCCACAAGACCTTGGACCGATGATATGACACTGGTAAACATTACGACTGGACTGTTTTTTGGCAATGTCGACTTTCTTTTCGCGAGTTACTGCAAAAGGAAGATGCACATCAGCTATAGTTTCCCGACATTCATTACTTCACAGAGATCAATGAACTTACTGTGTATTGCGGCCTTTTGCGATTCGTTTTCTAAAAAATTAAAACCCAAATATGCTAGATAGGCACTTGTATTCTGCAAATCCAGCAATGTCATTAATGTCCAACGACACATCCATCCTTGTAGTGTTAAAAACCCCTGGAACCGAAAACCAAAACAGTTAAATCTTCTCAATGCCTATCAATAAATTTTCTTTATTTCGTGTGCGTTACCCCAGCAAAATAATGTCGAAAATGGTCATTTAAACGTTATAGATAATTAGTTGCTCCCCTTCTGTAATTGTTAGGCACATTTTTAAATTTGTTTCACTTAAACTTTTTAAGTTATTTAAAAAAAAACATTTCCTGCTGGGATAACGTTTGAAACCTTACCGCAGCCAGACATTTTCTTTTTTAATTGTAATATTGAAATAAATGTTAGCTAAATAATTAGTTATCTGGACTAGGTAAATGTTACAACTTATTTGGTATTTGTATATTCTTCGGCTGCGAAGTTATTCGAGATCCTGCTGGAATAACGTTTGTGGGTTTGCTGGATCTCTGAAACGTTTAAGCGGATTGTAACCATCTTTTGTACATAACTTCTTAAGGATTAGTTTTAATTTGTTCGACAATAAAATAACAAAAATAATGGAATATGAAATATTTAGATAAGTATGAAAACACTTCAATAGGTCCTAACACTTTAAATAAGACCTCTGAAGACTTACTTCAAACGTTATTCTATTGCTTGTAACTACCTTAAAATGTATACGAATTTTCGTAAGAATACTGTAAGTGACTAAAAAGTTATGATGAAATGTAGCTCTCCACGTTCACGATCACAATGTGTGCGGCCTTTTTTGGCCACCGATAAACCTGTGTGTGGATATATAAACTGAATGTTATGCCAATAATTAGTTGTTTAGTTCAGTTGTCTACCTGTAGAATTTCAGCGTCGTACATATAATAATTTACGAGATAGTTAAATAAAAGTCATTAGAAAGTGCAAGTCCTTTTAAAATGTTTTGTGTAATACACCTTACGATTTCGGTACAGTTGCGTACAGTGTTAAATACATTCCATATTTATTCATTATTATTAGATACCTATTATTTATTTTGTTTTTTTTTCCTTATTGATCTTAAGCACTAGTTTCTTTACTTAAAATTTCTTTAGTCTTTTTAACTACCGGAGCTACAATCAACAGAAAATCTGCACTGGTCCGCTAAAATTATAAATATGTAGATACATGTATGAACGATTCACCAGACTGCAATAAATCGAAAATTTAAACCAATAAGAAATCGTTTCATTTCTTTGTTTTTTTTTTGTAAAGAAATAACATTAAAGTAATTGTATTTTATTTTGAGGTATATAGAGCTTAGACTTGAATGCATCAAAATATTTAAAGCAACAAGTCATCCACAATAAGTTAAAATAGACCGAATAGTAGAAGAATACAGTTGTAAATTAGAATGCATCAACATTGCATCGCCCAACAGTCGTATACCTCGTAAGAATAAGTAATATTGTTCTGTGGTCTATACCGAGAACCGAGAATTATCTATACCTATGTACCTACCGCTAAGCATTGAGCCCGTGACTGTTGATTTCTGTTAAAAACGAACAGTTGTTGAATGATATTTTGATATAATAACGGTAATTTAATTTATCGAGTGAAAGTGATACATTTTTATAAACAAAATTATTGGTCAGATAATATCTGTCAATCAAGAATCGCCGATAATACATCCTTCGCTAGAACGCGGGAGGGGAGGGGCGAAGGGATACTTAATTGTTTGCAATTTGCATCTAGTGCACTAAACTTGACCCTTAGGCAGATAATATACGTCTTGTAAAGTGCGTGTGCGCTTCCGCTTCTATTTTTGCAAATATTTATCGTATTCTTGAGAGTTCTTCAATATGTGTGTACCTAATTAATAATAATGGGCATTAATGCTAATTCGATTCAATTTAAGTAATTGTCAATTCTTGTCTTAGGATATTAATTACTAATGCTAATATTGAAATTTCGTTCAGGGTGAATAAATTAAAAACGATCATAACTTGTAGGTAGGTATATCACTTATTACTAATTTTACATAAATAATTTATTTTATTATAATTTTTTGTGATCAAATATTTTATTTTCTCCAACATTATTACAGAAATAATGCAATACAGAGTTTGTTCGCGATATGCTAGCCTAAGTCGATTCATCACTTAAAAAAAAATCCCCATCTATTCACAAAATACCTATTTACAACGCATACGTTACACTCTTCAAAACTTAAATTACCTATACCTACCCTAAAATTAAACTTCAATTAACAAACACTACACAGGTACCAATTCTATGAACAACTATAAACAATTCACCTAAACATTACGAGAAAACAAAAGCATTCAAAACAATACCTAATCTCCCGGCCGATTACTAATTATGCAATAAACAATCCTAAATAAAAATGATTTAAAAAACATGTAGTTTTTTGTAACACTTATGTACATATCCGTAGTAAACTTGCAAATAATATCCTACATATTTTAAAAGCCAGCACAATGTACTGGGTGATCGCTTTTTTGTAACCACCTAAACATGGTCAGGTTACCACGGTCTTTCACCTTCTAATGACTTTTATTTAATTATCTCGTAAATTATTATATGTTGAAATTTTACAGGTAGACAACTGAACTAAACAACTAATTATTGGCATAACATTCAGTTTATATATCGACACACAGGTTTATCTGTGGCCAAAAAAGGCCACACACATTGTGATCGTGAACGTGGAGAGCCACATTTCATCATAACTTTTTAGTCACTTACAGTATACTTACAAAAATTCGTATACATTTGAAGGTAGTTATAAGCAATAGAATAACGTTTGCAGAGAGTCTTTAGAGGTCTTATTCAAAGTGTTAGGACGTATTGAAGTGTTTTCATACTTACCTAAATAATTTTTAAACGGTCCATTATTTTTGTTATTTTATTGTCGAACAAATTAAAACTAATCCTTAAGAAGTTATGTACAAAAGATGGTTACAATCCGCTTACCCGTTTCAGAGATCCAGCAAACCCACAAACGTTACTCCAGCAGGATCTCGAATAACTTCGCAGCCGAAGAAAATACAAATACCAAATAAGTTGTAACATTTACCTAGTCCAGATAACTAATTATTTAGCTAACATTTATTTCAATTAAAAAAGAAAATGTCTGGCTGCGGTAACGTTTCAAACGTTACCCCAGCAATAAATGTTTTTTTGAAATAACTAAAAAAGTTTTTAGTGAAACAAATTTAAAAATGTGCCTAACAATTACAGAAGGGGAGCAACTAATTACCTATAACGTTTAAATGATTATTTTGCTGGGGTAACGCACACCTTTATTTCATTCCTATTTTGTAGCTATTGACGTGACAGTTTGTCAATGTGTTATCATTTAATATAAACGACAACTCTATAATTGACGATTTAATTAATCGTTTATCAGAAAAAGAGAGAAAAGCTTTGATTAAATTATATCTAATCAAAATTGTTGAAAAATAATGTACCATATGTTATAAATACTTTTAAGTACTTTTACTTATATGACGACCTTATGGCGTAGAGGTTTGTGTAACGGACTGCTATTCTAAAGGTCGCGGGTTCGATTCCCGCTCAAGTCTAACATTTGTGTGCATGAACATTTAATGTTTGATTTGGTCTGGGTGTTTCTATGTATAATACATATGTATTTACAAAAGAAAAATGAATATATGTATTTATATCATTGTCTAGTAGCCGAAGTACAAGCTCTGCTTAGTTTGGGACTAGAGGGTGTTGTGTGAATGTGATAGAATATTATATATAAAGCATATATATATATAAAGCAGAGGTATGTAACAAAAAAATTAGAAACAGCATAACCTTGTCATTTGTAGGCACAGTGTATCGCAAGTTATGCCAAGGTATTCTATTACAGCAGGAAAATACATTCTTGAGCTCAGTTGGGTTCAGCATACCATCTTTGTCTTTGTCATATTTCTCAAACAACTGTGTTAAAAATTGTTGTCCTTTGTATGACAGCTCTGATGTGCAACCAATGGGGACTTTTATACTGTAAGAAGAATACTATTAAATGTTTGAGAATACTATTAATTATTCAACTCGCCTATTCTATCAACCTCTGTATATGGTGTAAATAAATTAGTTATGTGCGTGATATATGTATCCGCAGACATTACTATTTGGAGGATCTTAAACTGATCTTTAGGATATTCCATTTTATTACTTTTAATGCAGTCTAAATTTATTTTGCTGCATAAAATATTTATATATCTAACAGTGTGTTACTAATATTAGTATCAGTCATAGCGTTATATTCAACTATCTTTATAATGAGATCAAACCAATAACTCCATGATATGTAATTATTAAAAAAACCGTGAATTACAAATAGACACATGTGTTATTGAGTTCTCAACATCAACGATTGATTCAAGATCGCACATATTGTTATGGTCATTATGGGCCTTAAGGGGTTATATCTACTTGTAAGTCCGAAAAAACGTGTTTATTTGTGAATTTTTTGTAAAGAGGATTTTTATTAAATAATACATAGAATAAATGTACATATAACAAATTAAATTTATTTTAAGAATTACCAATGAATATACAAAAATATTGGGTTCCGTTGTTCCTGTAGTAGATCTCTTAGAGGACCTCCACAAAAAGGTGTCTGGCGGTGAGGAAGATATCTCTGATCCAAATTATCTGAAATAAAAAAAAAACATAAGATTTATTTTTAGGATAGATGAATACAGGTAATGATCGATGGAATAGTCAAAATTTTGATTTTTGACAAAATGGGGGCTTCAGAAAGAAAAACAATCGTTTTTTTCAAGAAAATTTACACTTTAAAGTGACTTAAAAAATCGAAATTATTTTCAGAAACCTTATTCCTTCGATCATTACCTGTATTCATCTATCCTAAAAATAAATCTTATGTTTTTTTTTTATTTCAGATAATTTGGATCAGAGATATCTTCCTCACCGCCAGACACGTTTTTGTGGAGGTCCTCTAGAAGATCTACTACAGGAACAACGGAACCCAATATTTTTGTATATTCATTGCAAATTCTTAAAATACATTTCATTTGTTATATGTACATTTATTCTATTTATTTATTTAATAAAAATCCTCTTCACAAAAAATTCACAAAGAAACACGTTTTTTCGGACTTACAAGTAGATATAACCCCTTAAGTCAGGAAAAACTTCCACTCTGTTCGATGATTTAGACACTAATAACCTGTATTCTTTTTTTCTAAATCTGTATTCATATCTTTATCCACAGATATACATTTTTAACAATCTAGCCATCATTAATATTTGGTTATAATAAAGTGACATACCATGCATATAAGTAATTATGGGTCAATTCTAAACTTTCATCATATCCAAACTTCCGGAGTACAGTCCATGTTGTTTCATTTCTTCCTCTTTGTATAAATAAACAATGCAAAAAAATAAAACCTTTTATTGTTATGCAATCATTTTCTATGCCTCCGGCAATATTCTGTGCAATTACAGATTTTACTTCATCTAAGACCTGGAAGAGCAATTTTATTTGACAAAACTATATGTGTATATGATTATTGCGAGTAACCTTGATTTTGGTGTATTTGATAATTATTGAGAGCAATATTTTAAGCTTTCATTTACTGTACACATAAAAAGATATCCTCACTATTTCTGCAGAAGCTTTAGCATCATAAAATGTAATTGATCAAATGGATACAAATATTTGCTTGCGACCAGATGTATGTAAATATTAAATGTAGTCAATTGTTTTCAAATTATTACAATTCAATATGTGAATATTAAATAAATAAAAGTAAAAGGAGTACAGTAAGACCTTGGTTACATAAGTGATTGTAGTGATTTTATTTATATGATACTTAAATGACCTATTGCTCAAGCTGAAAGATGTCTTAACATATCTTTTAGCAACACCATTTAAAAAACATACCTGTAATTGAAGAGGTGAATCAAAACATTTCCTTTGAAACATGGTAACTTCATAATCATCTAAGAGTCCATCGCCATCTAAATCACAGATCTTGAATATTCTAGTTAAAGCTCTTTTGCACTTTTCTGTCAACTAAAAATATAATTTAATACTTAAATACTGACTGCTTTAATATTTAACATAATTAGCTTCTATGAGGGTGTTTGTACCCAAACATTATCTCTTAATGTCAAGATTGATTGATTTTTTATTGCCATATTCCATTTTTTTTTTAATAAACTAACTAATGACCACATATAACTGTAGAACTAAGAAATTGATTTGATTGTTGTATGGTTTCAACGATATCTTAACAATATGCAGAGTAATTCATGAGGAAGGTTGAGGGCCACAATCCATTAAATTTTAATAAAAATTTGTTAAAAAATTATAATGATTGTAAACATTTTCATATTTAAGTGGTTAAGACTTGTAAAACTTCCACTCAGTTTGTTTTTACCATCATTGTCCATAGTTATATGCTATATGGCCTGTGTGAAGTCAGATTGTACTAATTTAAATAAATTAATATAAGTAATCACATTTACCTCTTGTTCTTCAATGCAGTATATTGGATTGATAGGGTGTAATACAGCTTTTTGCGCATTGTAAAACATCTCTGAGACATTAACAAGTGATTTTGCTGAACATTCAATACACCTATCAACTTCCGGATATTCTTCTGCAATATCCCAGATATTCTAAAACAGAAAAAATCACACAAATAGAGTATATAGATTCATTAGAAATCTATATAATTTTTTATAAGAAAGAAACTTACATCAATTACTGAGTAATCAATTAAATCAATCTTGTTTCCAACAAGAATGACAGGCTTTCTGAAATCATCAGAGCAGTTTTCCCTTACAAGTGGCAACCAGTAAGATGCTATTTTGTTAAGTGTATCTTGTCTGTCTACAGAGAAAATGATGCATATCACATGGGCTCTCTCTATTTCTTCTGCCACTTGCTCTACAGTTTGCTCTGCAACTGGATAATAAAATTTAAATTATAAGTTTTGTGAGATTCATATTCAACTTCAACACAACAAAAAAGCAATTAAATGCTATACCTAGTTTGAAGTGAGATGTAAATGAGACTGCATCCTCATACACTCTTATTTATTACTTATATTTATAGTGAATATAGATATAGGATATCCCACATAAACAAGAAATACTACTAAATTGGACAAAATAAACAGTCTTGATTACATACATTGAAATCTTAACAATTCCATTATATAATCTATCTTTATAGTTTGTTTCTTGTTTGACAACATTTCGTTGAACAAAAAAAATGTTATTTTTTTTGCAAACACATGTTAACCAATCACAGGTTCAACAGTAAAACAGAAGAAAACGTAAATATTCATTCATGCGCCTATTGGTCTTCTAGTTACTCGAGGTACATACCACAAATATCGACAATGTTAGTAGGAACTTGTTCCGGTGTAACGTCGGCAGGAATTGTAATTTCCTCAGCTTTCGGCGGTACATGCTCAGTGAATTCTTCTGTTACTAGAGACAGTATAAGTGAAGTTTTTCCGACACCAGGTTCACCTAACAGAAGAATCCGGACTGTACGAGGTAGAGTCTCGTAAACCATCTTGTTTATTTTACTTTAATACAATATCTTTGCCGACATGTTTGTAATAGTTAAGCGGGGTTATGGCTTAATTTAAGACTAGTTTGGTATTCCGTTTATATATTTCACAATTACTGCTGCCGGAATTTCGAAATTGATGGTGAACATATTTTTTTAATTCACGGCCACAGGTTAAAATTTTTACTTGTTATCACATTACCAGCATCAAAAACATTAAGAATCATGAAATAATAAAACAAAATTGCATAATTCATCATAACTATTTCACATAAGACTATGATAATATGTAAAAGACTGTGACCCATATTCCACCATATCTCTTAATCTGTGATATTCCACGTTAAAAAAAGAAAGGTTTGGTAATTAGCCACCCACCAAAAACATTTTCATGATGAAATAAAATTAATGTTGCCAAGACAAGACCATTTTGGCTCGCAGCGTCATAAAGTCATCAAAAGGCCAATTCTCGTAACAAAAGTTCGGTCACAATTCAGTTACGATCAACTTTCGATCTCACAACTGTCGTAAAAGGTATTTAATAAAATAATAAAGTATTACTAAGACTGGTAGATATCAATTTTCGGTTACAAAAAAATATAATCACATTTCAGTCAACGTTGGATGTTTAATACTTCGCTACGAAAATACCTTTAAAACAGTTGTGAGATCGAAGATCGATCGAAACTGAATTGATACCGAACTTTTATTAGGAGAATTGGCTTTCTGATCTCATGTGCTAGCTACATTATTGTAATTTGAACAAATCTGTGATCTCATGCATATAGGCCAAGTCACATATTTTGAGTACTGTATAGTAGTTTGTGAAGTTAGGGCTTGTGGCTTGCAGAGTTGGGGTATGTAGAGTTAGACTCAGTGTGACCGTCATAAAATATTACTATTCAATTCTATTAAACATTTCTAATGCAATTTCCACCATTTTTGGATCGATTCAAGGGGATGCGATTTTCGCTTAGATCGAATTATTTGCCTCTAAGATCGTTATGAACAAATCGTATCAAATAAAACTTAAACAGCAACCGAATCAAACAATACGAACTACAACAAAGTAAGATTACTTATCTACCTACACATTTTATGAGATTAGTTTCGAGTTACATCAATCAAATAGCAAAAGCGGTGTTGTGTAAAATATGAAGGTAGGTGATACCATAATAATATTTTGTTTATGTTATTGTTGGGTATGTTTCCGACATTAGTTCAGAATTAAAAGCAAAAATACTCGGCGAAACTAATAAACGCTTCAAATATATCAAGAAAGTATAGGGTTTCCCAATAAGAGGTGTTATTTTAGTATTCAAAGAAAAATGCAATTTTTTTAGATAAATAATCGGCTGTTTATTTTATAATAAAGAGGAAGGTATGCCGTTTATAATGGAAGATAACATCAGCCAAATGGCTACCACGACCACGCTTACAGGACCATATCCTTTTAATGAAATTTTGCATAACCAATTCGCAGTGTGGCTGCCCTATGTCCTCGATAGCCTCACGAATTCCATCTTTGAGGTCTTGAATCGACGCTGGGCTGTTGCCGTAGACCTTATCTTTCACGTGGCCCCAAATTAAGAAATCGCAAGGTGTCACGAGATCTCGGTGGCCAATTGTGATCACCTCTTCGAGAGATAACACGGTCAGGAAACTTTTCCCGTAAAAAAGCAATGGTTTCGTTGCTTGTGTGGCACGTAGCGCCGTCTTGTTGAAAGTAAACGTTGTCCAGATCAATACCATCCAACTCCGGCCATAAAAAATCATTAATCATATCTCGATGGCGCAATCCATTCACCGTTAGTGTTGATCCAACCTCATTTTCGAAAAAGTAAGGTCCAATGACCCCGCCGGACCATGAACCGCACCAAACAGTCACACGTTGAGGATGGAGAGGCTTCTCAACAATAACTCTTGGATTTTCCGAGCCCCAGATGCGACAATTTTGCTTGTTGACGTAGCCTCCTAGGTGGAAATAGGCCTCATCAGTCAAGATGATTTTTCGATGGAATTCCGGATCATTTCCATGCATTTCAAGTACCCAATCAGCAAAGACACGACGTTGTTGATGATCGGCCGGCTTGAGTTCTTGTGTTAACTGAACTTTATAAGCCTTAAGACCCAAGTCTTTATACAAAATACGGTGTAATGACGTTTGTGGAATGCCCAATCCCAAAGAACGACGAGGAATGGACAAACCTGCGTTTTCTTCAACACTTTGGGCTACAGCAGCAATATTCTCAGTTGTTCTTGAGCGACGTGCACGGGTTTTATTCTTCACATCACTAACTTGTCCCAACAGCTCGAATTTTTCGCATTAAGATTGCGATCTAATAAATATTGACAATTAAAGTACAATTTCAAAGCGTCCCATAGTTCAATAATTCTATTTACACAGGCATGTAAAGAAAGCCACCTGATCTCGTAATGTCGCAATAAATTGTGATTCTCTTAGTCAACAAAATTTTGAAATTCGGGAAATTCTCGTTGTCGGTTACTGCTGTGACCAAAATAGTTGTGAACATCATTAACAATCTGGTCAATATTTCGAGGCAGTTCTTTACATGCATAGCTTACAGATAGGGCAACAGAGTGACATACACTTTACAAAAATGCAATAAGGATTAATAGACTGTATGTTTGACACCACCCTCCGCTGTTAGTACAAAAAAATATATAAGTTGTATCCGCGCCAAAACCAAGTACCTCTGCTACATTTAAATTATTTTTTTCTAAGCTATTCGATAACGCATAAAAACATCTTGTGAAGATTCCCCTTCTAAACTAATAGAAAACAAAAATTTGGTCACAGCACATTTACGTTGTGTTGAATAATATATAACTGTTACTATACTAGCTAGAATTTTGTCAGTACTAACATTTGTAGTCTCATCAATTTTTATAGAAAATATGTTTTTCCCTGAAGGCGACTTACATGAAATATATAAGGTGAGCTGTTTTTGTTCGCTTGCATGTGAATGCCTTTGCTATCTTTGAGTCATGAAATGCTCGTTAGAAGATGTCGCTCAAGTCGTCCATGACTCTGAAGGGTATGTTGTGATCAACTAGTGCAGCGCTAATCATGAGCTCGGCTTTAGTTGTTTTATCTGATAAAGGGTCCTTCTTAAACTAAATATCGATCTATAACAAAATTAAAGTCACAATAAATGAGACATCTAGATATTTGTGGAACCCCATGTTCCCTCTGCTCCCTGGAAGCGAGCGTGCTTCGCAACGCGCTCGCCGCCACCCCGGCCTGCTTCTGCTAGGGTGACAGTAGGCCTCACCTGTCACCCCCAGGCCTGCGCTTATGGAGGACGGATGTCGTTCTGCGACCTCCGGCGCCTGAGTCGCCTGCGGTACCTGGCCCGTTCCCGGGCCTGGGGGGCCGGGAGAGTCCTAAACCTCTCCCGGTCCCGCTCCGCCGTCTCCTTCGCGACATAACTTGCTCGCAGAAGGAGACGGCAGAGTTCCACGCACTCTCGCTCCGCACGATAGCCGCAATCAGGCCGATGGCCGCCACGAGGTCACGCCTCTGCTCAACCCACGCCGGGCACTCTGCCAGCGTGTGGAGAGCCGTGTCCACGGTCTGGCCATCGCAGTGGTGGCACTCAGGCGTTGGCTCCTTGCGGATCAGACACAGGTGATTCCCGAAACATCATTTCCCAGTGATCACCTGCGTCAATCGGTATGAGAGGGTCCCGTGACGCCTCTCGAGCCAATCCTCCATAACGGGTCTTACCGCCGCGATGACGGCGTGCCCGAACAATGCTGGCCTAGCATATTTGAAGTTTTCTAGAAAAATGAATGCAAACTTGAATAAACTAGTTTTAAAACTTGGAACTTTTTGATAGTTATTATCGTTTCACTGACTTAAAATGTTTGAATAATATACTCGTAATATCAAATTAAAATGTTAGATTAATAAGTAGTTATCCACTTTCCGATAATATAAACAAATATACATATCCTTGATCGCCCACTGTAATGTTTTATATTTTGTCCATGTTTGCGCTACTACCTCTGTGTTCTTTACAGCCTTACAGAAAGCGTGATTATTACTGTTTATATCTTTACAGAGCCACGAAGAAAATAATGGGTTTTATTCCCATTCAGCACCATAATTTTGTTCAAATTTACGTTTCATTGTAATTGTAAGTACGTGTTGCATCCGATTGTCACGAGATCTAAACGAATTATGTAAGAGAATGACATATTGACAAAAGGGAACATAAAGGGAAATTTTCTTTTTTTTTCATTTATTTTGGTACAAAACAGTCATTAAACATAAAGCAATATAAAAATACACTGAACAAAAGACAAGGAGTACCCAAGAATGGATTTAAATAAATGTAGTACATTTCACAGAGCGTTAGACTCAAATAACCTGTGGAAATGAAACAAAAAAGAAAATAAAAGGTTTAAAAGAAATACATACATTACGAAATTACTAAGTAAATGTTAACAATTTACGTTTAGACATTTTTTTAACATTGTTCAAAGAGTTATTAAAAAGATCGATACTATTGAAGTCTTTGTTATATATACGAGGGTGCGTTTTTAAGTTCGCGGAATGAGAGGGTTGGAGGGGGGTGATTAGGCTCATTAGAATCGTCACGTGTTCAGTCACTAATAATTAGTATAAATACCAGGTTTCATTGTTATTAGACAATTAGTCTTTGAGTTATCGTCAACCAAGCAACATAATCGGGAGTGAAAAGTGAAACATGGAAAAAATCGAATATCGTGCCGTTATAAAGTTCCTTACCAAAGGAAAATCAGTTGCGACCATAATGAATGAGATGTCATTGGTTTACGGCGACTCTTGTCCAGGAAAAACCATGGTGTACAAATGGCACAGTTTATTTAAACGAGGAAGGGAATCCCTTGAAGACGACCCGAGGCCGGGCAGGAGCATCGAGGTGATCACGCCAGAAATTATCCAAAAAGTCGAAAAATTGTACTTGACGATGCTCGACTAAAGAAGAAAAAACTCGCAGAAATGGTTGGAGTATCTGATACAACCATTTTTAGAATTCTGCACGATCATTTTGGCATGACAAAGGTCAGTGCTAGATGGGTGCCGAGAATGCTCACGCCGACGCAAAAACAACAGCGCGTAGAGTGTTCACGTGCATTTTTAGACCTTTGTAATGAAGACAAGGATGCTGTATTGACTAGAATTGTTACTGGAGACGAAACTTGGGATCATTATTATGAAACTGAGTCGAAACAAGTCTCCATGCAGTGGCATAAAAAGGGCACAGCACTTCCCAAGAAGTTTAAGGTGTCACAGTCAAGTGGGAAACTCATGGCAACGGTCTTTTGGGACTCAGAAGGAATATTATTGATCGATTATAAAGATAAAGGTGTTTTTATAACTGGAGATTATTAGAGCGACTCAAAGAAGCCATTAAAGAGAAAACACAGGGAAAATTGATAAAAGGTGTGTTGCTTTTGCACGACAACGCGCCCGTCCACAAGAGCCGCGTTGCGTTGGCTGCCCTGCATAAAGTGGCCTTCGATATTTTGAATCACCCACCCTACAGCCCAGACCTGGCCCCCAGCGATTATTACCTGTTTCCAAAAATGAAAAAAGAGCCGCGGGTTAAAAAAATTACCAACGATGATGAAGTCAAGGAGGCAGTTTCGGCGTATTTTGAAGACAAAGAGAAAACATTTTTTTATGAGGGTATAAACAAATTAGTTGAAAGATCTGAAAAATGTATCCGTCTTGCAGGTGAATATATTGAAAAGGAAAAATAATTTGGTTTTTTATTTCCACCCCTTATCCACCATTCCGCGAACATAAAAACGCTCCCTCGTATTAAGTGAGCGTGTGAAAAAGTTATTGCGAGTGTAATTTTTATGTAATTTAGGGGGAGCGAAGATATTTAGTGTTCGGGATGGAGGGACAGGTAGCCGAGCTTTGGTTATAAAGTTAATTTTGGAAAGAAGAGACGACGAAGCTATTTTATTATTCAGAATTTTATATAGACAAATTAGATCAAACTGCTTACGAAGATTTGAAAGTGAAAGATGATTCTGATTAAGTGACTCAGTGTATGATAGATCTGAATTGTGGAAGCGATAATTTAAGATTTTAATAAATTTCCTTTGAACCTTTTCTACCCGATCAATATGACATTTGTAATAGGGATTCCACACGGTGCAACCAAAATCAAGAATTGACCGTACATAACTAAAATATAAAATCTTTAGTATTTTCTTTTCTGAAAGGTTTAGAAATTCTGTTTATGAAGCCAAAACTTCTAAATTCCCTACGTACAATGCTGTCCATATGTGGTTTATACGAAACATTTTCATCCATTTCAATACCTAGATCTCGAATTGTATGTACCCGTTTTAATTAACCATTGTTGATGTGATAATCAAATAATACGTTCGTTCGTTTGCGGGTATAAGTCATCACGAAACATTTTTCTGAGTTTAGGAATAACTGGTTGTCAGCACAATACTTAGACAAAGACAATAAAGCATTTTGAAGGTGTTGACAATCCGCCACTCCTGTTATAGCTCTGAATATCTTCGTATCATCTGCATAAAGTAGGTAGTCAGTATCATTTAAAGCATAGCCCAAGTCATTAATGTATAAGGAGAATAAGACGAGACCGAGGTGAGAACCCTGAGGAACACCGGATGGGACGGGTAGGTAGCTAGAACAATAACCTTTAAGACAGACAGCTTGGCTACGGTTTCGTATATATGATTCCATCCATCTGAGAAGGTTGCCATGTCTTCCAACATTTTCGAGCTTCGCTATAAGTAAATTATGATTTATTTTATCGAAAGCCTTAGAAAAATCCGTGTATACTACGTCTACTTGCATGTGAGAGTCCATAGCTTTTAGTAAATAATCATTAAAACCTAACATATTTGATTCTACACCTCGACCCTTATAAAAACCATGTTGTCTGTCCGAAATGTGATGACGAGTAGCATACGATATTTGTGATGTAACGATTTTCTCTAATAGTTTACCGAGAGTACTCAATTTCGATATAGGCCTATACTGAGTTATTAAATTATTTTGACGGTTTTTAGGTATCGGATTTATAAGTGCCTTCTTCCATATAGTTGGGTATGTTCCAGTTAAAATAGACTTTTGAAATAATAAATAATAATAATAATAAATGCAGGCGTTCCTATTATAACATAAGCGCTGCACTCCTATAATAGTAAAATTCATAATACGTATATAACTTACATCTCGCAATGATAGGTAGTAAATATTTATTAACCGTTTATTGTAAACAAAATGTATAACTCTTTGAACATTCACATATTTTAATTGCAGGTAGTACATAAAAATCTTCCTAAAATACAACGACAAAAGTACATAACAGAATAATACAAATGAAGTACAAAACATAAAAGGTAGTCATTTAATTTTGTCTAAGTCGTTTTCACTTGAGATAACAATAGCTTTCGAAGTGTCACTTTTGCGAATGAATATTTTACAATCATTAAGCCAAATGTATTTGTAACCTACTCTTCTACCCTTGTCACGTACCTGCCGATATAGAAGTTCATTGTCAGTGTCAAAGTAAAATGTTGAAGAGGACTTAATTTCTGGAAGCTTCTGGAAACGAAGATATATAAGTCCGGCTTTCAGCCACGGGAGACACTGCTATCTCGTGCCTTCCGATCTTAAATAGTGTTTTGATTGCTGTGTGATTTGATTTGATTTCGTCTGTTCAAAAGTACCCACAAGAGTGGTGAGTATGGTCTTAATTTTTTCTTAAACCTATTTGTTTCTGGAACCTGATTAATTATATGAGTGCTAATCCATTCGTAGGGTCCCAGATTTCGGGGTCAAGACGGTCAGTCTCAGACGGCGTGCTTGCTCGTTTGTGGCCTTCTGGTTCAGACTCAAGTTTCTCGGTACCCTCTGGCAAGCTGGTGATTGCGCGGCTCACGACGCAAGCGGACAGCCGTACCCAAGGGTTACGTACTTACTTATAAACTTATAAATGCAAATTGTTTAACTTTTATCAATATCTAATATAAATAGCCGACTCGGGCGGAAGAGGAAGTAACCTCCTGGAGTGAAGACGAGGAGGCACCGAGCACCAACAGCTCGGCTCTGACGCGCTCCGCTGCGGGTTTTCTTATACCCTCTGTTTTTTATGGTAACCTTAATTTTGTTTTTTTTTTTTATTTTAATATACATGTATGTATGACTGAAGTGTAAGTTGTTTTCCTCTAGTGAATCCCGTAGGTTTCCCACACGCACACACACCTGTTCTCTTAAAAAGGCGCCGTGGGGTTATCTCATCAATCTCTCCACTGGGTCAGCCGGTGAGTAGTCCGCCTGAGAAGAAAAGCGGCTACACGCTGTGTGAACCTCACAATTATGTTGGGTATGGTAGATGTCTTCACGGGCTCCAGCTGACTAGCAGAAGATTCCTCACTGCCTCGTAGGGTTTCTTTTGATGAGAAGCGCCTTACTCGAGGGATGTAGTCGATATCAGTAGCAGTCAGTGAGAAACCAACTTTGACTCCAATACGATGCAGAATGTGGAAGAGATTTTCATTTTTACTAGTCAGTGGGATCCCAGAGATTTCGAGATTATTCCTCCTGCCTTCTTGTTCCCTTACTCGCAGCTGTTCGGAAAGCCTCGTGATGAGTACCTTAGCTGAACTGAGTTTTTCTTGCAAGCCGCCAACAATCGCCCTTGCACTTACACCTTCCTCTCTCTGTGTAGACAAGTTTGAAAGTAGGTTGGATTGTTCATGCTGTAAATTGTCAATTGTTTTATGTCTGAAATTTCAGTTTTCATGGCATTATAGTCTTGCTGCAGTTTCTGAATGTTTTCGTATTGCTTGTTCAACATACCTTCAAAAGATGTCATAATGTTTTGTTGGAATTCGGAAAAGGAGTCTCTCAACTCACGGCGATAACTAGCCAGGGAAGCTGTTAACTCTTGCCTTAGTTCGTTATACATATGTGCTTCAGAATCTGGCGTTTTTCTTTTGCGACTAGACACATTCATCCGTGGATCGTCGTCAGCCAAGAAAGTAAGGTTGGGGTGTGAACCACTATTAGACTTAGGGGGTGTACGCTCAAGACTCATGACGCAGGTTTTATAGGTATTACGCACCAGGAATATTTTTTTGTAATATCACTGTACACTATATAACTGAATTAAAGTACTATGATTAATTAGTTTACTATTATTTTATTAACTCGAGGGTACCGTTAAAACAAAAAATAAATAATTTTTTTATCATTTATTTATTATATATATATATATATGTATCAATTATTTATTATATATATGTGCCCGTACGCAATAGTGTCCAACGTGCCAGCGAGGACGATAATGTCACCTGTCTTGTTGACGACGCAACTCGAGCGGTGTGCAGATGTGAACTGAGATCCGTGTTATTAATCACTTTCCACAAGTCCGAATGCTAGGACGCTCGGGACGCGAATGAAATGATGAATGAAAATGGAAATTACCCTTTAAACTAGTTTAAACGATACTCTGAATCGTAATTAAAATAATTATTAAATTCCTAATTAATAAATTAAATTCTATTTTCTAAACTTTAGAGTGCAAAATTCCGTGTCAGTCGGGCTTAAAAGTATACAGTCGGGGGAAGCCCCTTTTTTTGCGGGAATCCCCTCGGATACCACTTATCGGTGGCATGTCGGACTCGAATCGACTAAAACCGCTCGCCGTCTCGGGTAATAGCCTGGGAACCAGGTATACCCTAGAAAGGAAGTCCCTGAGTCGGGGGAAGCCCCCGCTACAAACAGTACTAATATAAGCGCTGCCATTGCTGCCAACAGAATTTATAGGCTTGGACACAAGTCGTTTTAGCTGGGATCATTATTGCTTCAAATCTACTGAAGTCTACTACTACATGTCAAATTTTCATTAGAAATCTACTACTGCATTAGAAAATCTACCGTAAACGGTCACACTGGTTAGACCCTTAGCTCTACATGAGATCTGATGTCTGATAACTTTTTAACAGTGCGATCCCTATGGTCTGGTCTTGGCAACACTTAACATGAAAATGTTTTCGTTGGGATTTTACTTCTCTTTCTAAGTAGCTTATCACAATTTTCTGTTTTTCTTTTGTTTTGTTTTTCATTCTTTTTTTGACGGGCCTGTTGGTCCAGTGGTTAGTGACCCTGACTGCTAAACCGGAGGTCGTGGGTTCGATTCCCACCCAGGACAAATATTGTATGATGAGCATTGTCATTTGGTCTGTCTGCGTGTAATTTGTCTTTAATATGTATCTATTTAGAAATATATACGAGTATGTTTATCAGCAGTCTGGTTACCATAGTACAGGCTCTGACTAGTTTGGGATCAGACGGCCGTGGGTGAGATGTGTGAGGTATATTATTTGGGGTGAATTTCTTGCAAATCAGAGGTGCCTTTTTTCATAGCCCAATATTTTATATTTATTTGATTATGATAAGATCAGGGCGATCCTTAGCTCTTACAAATTATGTTCGACTATGGCTGACAGTTCTTCTATAATACTAGTTAAGTCAATAATTATAAGGTAAACACTCGAAGAACTTGAACACTCTCTAGAGTGACTAAATTAGTCACTCTAGAATGCTATATAAGCCTGCCCACAAGAGAACGTGGATGACCCAATTTCAATGAAAGCATTTTTAAACTTGTCCTTGACTTTTATGTATGGGTAAAGATGTAAGGCCGGTTTAAAACCAATTAAACCAATCCGTTTAAACAAAAAAAAAACATTTATTTCGATTTTAAATGGTTGGTAGTGATGACTATGTTTTTCTTAATTATAACTACATTTTCTTCATTTGATTTTTATAAATGTGTGATATACTTGTATTGATATACTTAGCGGGCTTAGTTCTAGTTGGTCCGTCCGACCAAGCGTAGGTATTATCTATCAAGTTATAAAACTCTATTGTTAAGTTAAAAGCTCTGTGTTGGTAAATAAACATCTTTTTCATTGTTTTCAAAGGTATAAATAATCAATTTGATTCGGTTTAAAAGTTGTTTCTCGGTTTAAAACTCTCGTTGACGAATATAGGTAGGTACTTTCTATGGCTTTGTAAAAACTAATTAAAACGAAACATGACCGCAGGTGACCAAAAACTGTCCACAATGAAGTGTAACACATTTTTGTAGGCGAGTTTAAAACGTTTTAAATCGGTTGTTTTACATTTACATTTATGTTTGGGCACACACGATACAGATTGATCTAGTAATATTAGAAATCTTCAGTGCAATCAAATCGTATCGAAAATGAAAGTCGAGACGTCCTCTCCCAAGGACGTTTTTTGATTGTGTACTAAAACTAGCTTACAGCTTACTAGGACTTCAGGAAGTACTCTAAGGATTTTGATGATCATTAGTGAGTCAGTAACGAAATCAGGGTTTTTAGATACTAATAAAATCGAAATTGTACGAACTATGCAATTGAAATTATATGTTTAAAAAGTCAACTACTGACATCATCCCGACAATTTTGTGTATTTGGTATAATTCAAATTAAGAGGGTTAAAAAAACGACAAACCACTTGGAGAAAAGGTAGGAAGTGCCTTGTGCTTTGTTGACTCGTCTTGGTGCCAAATTAATCACTTAGGGCCCGTTCCCACTTAGACCGACCGTCTGTTTTCTCGGTTCGTCTAAAGAGAATTGTTCACATATGCCAGTGGCAGTACAACTTATATGACAATGCTCACATTTAGACGGATCCGAGAAAAAGAAGGGATCAGGGTTTCCCTGGCACTAATGTGCCTACTCGCGGCAACCTGCGCCGCGCCCAGCGGATCACCTCGCAAACATCGGCCCGGTTTCGGTGCTCGTGCAAAATGGACGTCGATGCTTGTGCTTTGATATCGCTTGACGATAATAAAGCTATCTTGTGGGACAAAACTTTAGAGAAATATAAAGACAAAAAGTAAAGATTGGCAGCGTGGCTCGAAATATGTAAAATATTAAATCCTGATTTTGACCAACTTGAAGAAAAAGAAAGAAAAGAATTTGGTGAGTTCTTTTGAAAAAAATATATTTACAATACTATGTAGCTCTACTACCAACGTACACTATGTGGTAGACAACAATATTCTTAATACATACACAATAATAACAGAGAAAAAAACAGACTTTATACATATATAGGTTGACTTTAAATTAGTTCCCGATAGCCAAAGATATGAATGTACTCATGTATACGAACAACTTTTACTGAAGGGAACACATTTGTAACTCAACAAAAAAAAACAGCTGTATACATTGATGGTAGAGTAGATATTAACAATTTGTATCGAACAGCTAATTTGTTTGTTGAATTTAAAAGTTAGCCCTATAGTTCAAGTTATTCATATCAATGGGTATATGCATTTATTTGGAACATCGCATCTAAATGTGTGCCACCATTTAGATCCGATGTGAGGATGCCGATGACAAGATCACTGAATATTTTGACTCAAGGATGAAACAGGAAAAAGAAAGTCCTAATTTATTATTTTTCAAAGGAATACTACCTGCCGTGGATTCGTTAGCGATGGATGAAACTTTAGAGTTTCAAGCAGGTATCTTAACTCTTATACAAAAAATTAAAGGGTGAAATAGTGCCGGTAATTACCAAACTTATTATCAAAATACTGAATGGCAAGATCAATATCATAGATACTATACACAACCTCCAGCCAACCAGCAGCTAAAAGCTCACATACCATCACCATTAACATTCAGTCAATCATCTTATGCTAACCAGCAGCCAACCACTTTCATACCATCACCATCACCATCCAGTCAATCATCTTATCATCCCCAATATACTGTACGTCAACTTAGAATAGAACATATTCAAAAGCGATTCGTCAGACACCTTACTTTTTGTGGGCTACAAAAGCAACTTCCTTCATACAGTTATAAATTGCGACACTTTCATATGGATAGCCTGTCAATTCGTTGACAACAGCATGATATGACATTCTTTTATAAAGTAATTAGGTGAAGTTCGACTGTCCACTGCTTTTAAGGACATTTGGCTTGAGGGTACCATGTCGTGTGCCTAGACAAGCCCTCGTTAACACCCTTGTTTTATATTCGTTCAATTGAATGTTAAAATCACATAGATGTTTTTTTCAATTTTTAGTCTTACATAGTAGTTACTCTATTATGCATGTTGTGATGCTAAAAAGTTCCGTATTAGAATAGTCTTGTTGTAGGTACAAACCGTATATCAATAATGTGAAATACATGTACATGGTTAAAGGTAAATAAATTTAATTTCATTTCATTCAAACCATTCCATTACTTTTAACCATGTATTTTTTAACGATATGTTTAGTTGTCTTTTAATTTTCCTACAGATGTGGGTGCCCAATGCAAATAATTTATGATCAGCAAATGAAGTTGTGTGTTGAATTACTGGGAGAAGAAGTTCTGTATTAGATATCTTCTGTAAGTCCCCCTTTGTAATGGTGTGTTCTTGACTTACAATATAAATGTTGGTAAACTTGTGTAATTGTATATTTATGACAGGCAGGAAATAAATCAAGAATAGTAGTTTGGAAAAAAAACTATTGTTTTAGCTTTATAATGCTTGAATTCAAACCCCATCAAGCCATTAAATGCTTGTCACAGATCACAAATATCAAATAATTTTACAAATATAAAATTGTATAATGTCACAATTAGTACATTTTAGAGCTCTAAGTTTAGAAAGTACTTGCATCAGGATTGACATTTTTGTAGTTGATTACTCTGATCTTGCCAAAAAAGTTTTCTAAAGTATCCTGATTAATATTTCTGGGATTAAAATATAATACTTCATACTTTTCAAACTAATTTTTTAATATAGATTTAGCTTCTTGCAAAAACTCAATGTTTTGAGTTTGGCTTTAGTGGTCCTCGTAACTTTGCCTTGTGATGTGACATCAACAGTGTGACATCTGTCAGTGAGAAGAAGCAAGATGTCCGGATCTGGATACAGTACAGATAATATAAGTGGAACATGAAATTATAACAAGCTTACCAAATGCTACCCGTCCCAGCTGAATGCTTTTATTGACTTCCCTTCTGAAATTGTTCTTACCCACTTGCAAGAGCTGTGTTCCGTGTGGTGAAGGATTAAGAATACGGAGAGTCACCGTTTAAAGGGAGCAAACTATGCATGATAACAGCATTGCAAAGAGAAGGAAAACTGGACATAAACCCTATGCCAACTCATCTAGCCAGCGTGGTATAGTAGGCCAAAAACTCTTTTCTAAGGAGAAGCCTGTCGAGCACTGACCTATTAAAGCCTGTAATGATTTATTTATTTATTTATGATGATGACTTTATTAATTATACATCTCTTTTTGAATCTAGTTCTATCCCTCGACTTAGGCGACAAACTAACTAGGGGCCAAGTTTATTATTGACCGTTAACCAAGGAGCAAATTTAATGCTCTTCAAAATGTGTAAGTGGTAGTAAATTACGCGTTTTGGCCATAAACAACATATTATTAGAAATCTTAAAAAAAGATATGTCAATAAATTGATAAAATTTGACTTTGACATTAGGTTTACATATAGATATAGAGAAGAGAGAAGAGTCTGCCTGCCTGCCTACTTGTGTTTAAGTGCAGTAGTGCAATACTTGTTATTAACCTACCGAACGCTACGATCAGTTTGTTACTTTTACAAAGAAAGGAGAATCAAAAGTGTTATCGCGTAAATACGTGTGTATGAATGGAACATTGAATATAACTAGCATTTTGGTTAAACTATAAATCAAGAGAAACGTTCCTGTTAGCATCTACCGTTTCACAGTATACAGAAAAATGTCCTCTTACGTTGATATGAGCTTGGAAGATATTATTAAAAAGAAAAGAGAAACCTCTAGGTAATATTTACGTAAATAAATATATGAATAATTTAGATAAGTAATGATGGGATTACTGTTTATAGTTTTACTTCTTTTACAGGATCAAACGAAAGCCCAATGTATCGATGCCATCTAAGAAACTACCTATTGCCGACGCTAGAAATAAAATTATATCTAAAAAAAGGACTCAAATTACAGATGCAAGGGAAAAACTAGCTCAACTTGCAAAACAAAAAGATGCGCGCCTTAAGCTAGAAAAATTGCGTCTGGAAAGAGTAAGTTTAACAATTTATTGATCATATTAAATAGTATCTACTACTATTTAATATATTTAGTTTTATTTTGACAATTTTTTAACTAAAAATGTTTTTAAACAACAAATAGGTATTGTTGTTCATTAGTATTGTTATTGATATTTGCTATTTTTCTTCCTATTTGCCTTAAATTTAAAAGTTCATTGCAATTTTTCTCATTGTAAAATAAATGCCAGCTGATAATTGTTTACATTTCATCTTCTTTATTATTGCTATCAAAGCCCTTGTTATATGATATAGCACCTCATTTAAAGATAATTGATAAAACGGTTCAATCTAGAACCAGATTGCGTACCTGCTGTAAATTTTGATAAAATAGAAAAAAAAATCTGTCTCTCTCTTAACATTAAAAAACAGTATAAAAAGTAGGCTTAGTTTTTATAGTATACCATACTTTCAATTCACATCTGAAATTTGTAGGGTGTTAAATACATTTGGTTAAGGCAGTATAATTTGAATGAACTTCCTTGCTTAGATTTAACCTTACTTGTGTAAGACATTCTGTAAAGGTGCTCATAATTTTGCTGTGTTATAAATGTATTTCTAAAAAGTCACAGTAAAACAGTTTTTATTTTACTTTAGGAAGTCTTAGGGAAGAATCTCATCTATTGCAACCATAATTATCTAGAGCCAGAATGGCAGTGTCTTGACCTCCTAGTCTTTAGAGAGAACATAAATTTAAAAGTACAAAAGCATTGTATTGTAGGTCTCATAGGCCCGTATTTTAAAAGGTGTCTCAGTCGTGAATCTAGTCTTAAAACTAATTTTAAGTAGAGATTTTATTATTGAACGTCACTTAAAACGAGATTCACCGATCCATACTCAAGTGAGTGATGGCTTATTTTAGAACGATGTTTATGTCGAAATCATTACTCAGGTATAGATTTTGACAGCTGTGATCTTTGTTTACGTGAGACAAGCTGAAACTAGTCTCAAGCGGTGATGTCTAGGGCATTTAGGGTAAATTAATGTGTTTTACGATTATTTGTTTTTGAATAATTACGAAAGATTTATTTTACTTCATTTACGAAAGAATTACTTGTCATACTACCAATCAATTTCACTTTAATATACCTTTATTGATATGAAATTCACCAAAATTCACATTTTACACACACAATACCAGTTTAAATTACCACAACCTTTTGGTTTACGTTATAAAAGTATAGTAATATAAATTTCAGAAATATCAAATATAAACATCGTTTGACATTTCAACATGACAAGTGTTGATAAATAACTTGAACGTTCCGTTTTAGCCTATTCATACAGCTACTCATTTTTATTTTAATATTTATTATATTTAATTTTGAACGAACAACAAGCTTGTTAATATGTTAACATTGCTACACTAGCCAATAGCACATTATATACAAATTCACAGAAATTATGTTTGTAAAAAAAAAGTACTTTTTAAATAATTAGCTGCGTAATGCGGAATAATAATGTCAAACATGCGAAAACGTAATTGAGAACAGACTGTAAGTTCAAATCAATACTTGAAACTAGTTTCAACTGAGTAAAACATAAAACGCGTTCTATAATAAGATCGATACTTAAGATTTGATCTGCACTTAAAACTAGTTTCAGGCAATCAGAGTTCAACCGACACTTGAGACGTCTTTTAAAATACGGGCCATAGACAGTACTTTTGTCCAACAGGCATAAAACATCCTATTAGTAAAACTAATAAAATAAGAATAACAAAGACAAACAAAACAACTAATAACTATCAAATAATAATCCTAATAGAATGAAATTTATAAGACTATAATGGGAAATTTTACATTGTAAATATGAAACTATTACTATACTACTATACTATATATTTTTTAATTTAAGGTAATAAAAATTAATAAGTTCGATTCCTAAAAATATTTGAACATGTTTACTTATGTTGATATATAGGATATGTTAAAAAATTTGAAAGTATGCTAGCAGCAGACTTAGACAGAATAGTATGGATGGTGCTAAGTGCCATAATAAATCTATTTTAGTTGTGTCATGTGGATGGCATGGGAGGTTCTCACTACATCTGTACTTGCTCATAATTCCTTCATTATTTTATAGTACTCATTTAACATCAGGTGGTCGATCTCCTTATAAGTCCCCCTATATCATAAAAAAACTTACTATGATTTAAACATACATTTTATTTTGTTACTAGTCAGGTGTTCAAGGACAACCAAGAAACATATTTCAAAACCGAACAAAGTATCCAAGGGCAATATCCAATAAAGAGAGAGGTAAATTACATACAATCAAAAAATTAGGTTGGCTTTAATAATTGCAAATGTATGAATTGCTTAAAGTTGTTTTATTGTTTTTTTTATTTGTTTCTTATTTTAATGTTTCAGTATTCATAGACACATCAAGACAAGTAACTTCTCAACCCTTGCACATTTCTAAAATAGCCCAAAATCGTCAACTCCACATTGGTAGACAACTCAACAGTGTCAGACAATTTAACACTAATAGGCAACTAAACATTGCGAGAGAGCTTAACACAGGTGGACAGCTGAGGACAGGAAGACAACTAAATATGGGAAGACAGTTGAACACTTCTAGACTGCTAAATTCTGGGCAACAACTCAATACTGAGCGATTTATTGATAGCAGACCTATTGAAAAACCTAGATATCTTGGTAATGAAACATATTTATTTTTCAGACACATTACTAATAGTTCCTTGCTTTGTATAAGACACATGTAAACATTACTGTATTACGATCCTGCAGAACTTTACTATAGCCATATGCAATACAGAAAATTATAATCTCCTAGAAAATTCTACTAGGGTAATGGCATTGGACCATATTGGACTGCGGAAATCGTGATACTGGGTGACTTTAACGCTCACAACGCCTAATGACTTGGCTCACGCAAGATCGATCATGCGGGGAGATCTGTTCACGATTTCGCCCTGACCTATGCTTGCCGCGGCCGCGGCTGCGACTCACGTGCTTGCCGCGGCCGCGAGTTGCAGGCTGCCGCCGTGTGTGGCACTATAGGTCAGCGGACTGGGATGGACTTTCTTTCTTGGCGTCTTACCCATGGAGGCAGATCTGTTTCTTGCCGAATGATCCCACCGTCGTTGCCGATTCTGCTGATGTAGTGATGACTGATGTAGTACTTCAGGGCATGGAACTATTCGTTCCTTCTACATTAATTCCCATCAGTGGCAGATCCAAGCCCTGGTTCGACAGATCCTGCAAAACGGCGTCCCGCCGAAAGCGGTAATGCTACCAAGCATGGGCAAATGCAGCGACCATACCAGCACGCTTAAGAAACAATATAACTTTGCCTCCAGGCCATCAACCGGATGAGACAAGTGAGACTTCCTTCTGGAACTCGTGCATTCTGGTCTCTTGCCAAGGCTGTCCAGGGGAATTTCTGTAGCCGATCCTTTCCACCCCTGCAGATGGGAGATAATTCGCTGGCCTCTGATGCCAAAGGGAAAGCCGATCTCCTAGGCAAACTCTTTGCATCCAACTCGACTTTGGATGACGGGGGAACGTACCGCCGACCACACCGCGGTGCCAGAGCTATATGCCGGATATCCGGTTCACAACAAAAATCAGTGCGTAAAGCACTCTTTTCCCTTGACATTCATAAGTCGTGTGAGCCCGATGGAATCTCTCCTATCGTGTTGAAGACGTGTGCTCCGGAGTTGGCACCGGTTTTAACGCGCCTTTTTCGTCTCTCCTACTCCCAAGGCGTCCCGAACTCCTGGCAGGTAGTGTTTGTGCACCCGATCCCTAAAAAAGGTGACCGCTCTGACCCGTCCAACTACAGGCCTATAGCCATAACTCCTTTGTTCTCTAAGATTATGGAATCCATAATCAACGGCTAGCTCCTCCGGCACTTAGATGATCACCAGCTACTCAATGACCGACAATATGGTTTTCGCCGGGGTCTCTCAGCTGGTTATCTTCTCGTCTTTCTAACACACCGGTGGGCACATGCGATCTCTAGACCAAAGGAGAGGCTTGTGCGGTTAGTTTGGACATAGCGAAGGCCTTTGATCGGGTCTGGCTTCTGGCTTCCCGAGAAATTGTGTAATTGGGTCAACAGCTTCCTTGCGGACAGAAGCATTTAGGTCGTTGTCGACGGTGCATGCTCCGACTTGAAATTCGTAAATGTTGGTGTCCCACAAGGCTGTGTGCTATCACCCACACTGTTTCTTCTGCATATCAATGACATGTTGCAAACTAGTAGCATCCATTGCTAAGCAGATGATAGCACAGGAGATGCCCTTTATACCGGCTGCCCTAACATTTCTTGGGAAAACGTAATCGAGAGTAGTAACAAACTTGTGTCTGAAATTGAAACTTCCTTAGCGGAGATTTCAGATTGTGGCCGACTAAATCTAGTCCATTTTAACCCAAAAAAGGATATAGGTTTGCGGGTTCACCGCAAAAATGATACCATTTGTCGTATCACCTCAGTTTGAGATCACCAGACTAACTGCCTCAGCCAGCATCAGAATCCTAGGCATCGACATATCGAGCGAAGTCTAGTTTCAAGGTCACTTAGAGGGTAAGGTCAAATTGGCCTCGAAGAAGCTCGGTGTGCTGAACAGATCGAGGCAGTATTTCACTCCGGCCCACCGCCTTCAGCTCTATAAGGCGCAAGTCCGGCCGCATATGGAATACTGTTCTCATCTCTATGCAGGGCACCTCAGGACCAGCTTCTCCCTCTAAACCGCATCCAACGAAGAGCGACTCGAATCGTCAATAGCCAAAAGATTTGCGATCGGCTCGATTCGTTGTCGTTACGTAAAGAAGTAGCTTCACTCTGCATTCTCTATCGCATATATCATGGAGAGTGCTCCGAGGAATTGTTCGGACTAATACCAGCCCAAATTTCCGCCATCGTTCTACACGGCAAAATTTTCATCCTTATTACCTGGATAATTGGCGCTCCACTACTGTGCGCTTTTCGAGACAATTTTTTCCCGGCACAACCAATCTCATCTGCGGTATTTCCGGACCGATACGACCTTCAAACCTTCAAGAAAAGAGCGTACTCCTTCCTAAAAGGCCGGCAACGCGTTTGTGACTCCTGAGTTGCAGACGTTCATGGGCGGCGATGGCCACTTTCCATCAGGTGACCCGTCTGCTCGTCTGCCCCCTCTCATCATCAGCCTATCGCACTGCTGGACATAGGCCTCTCCCATTGCACGCCACTTAGATCGATTTTGGGCTTCTCGCATCCAGCTCCCTCCTAACATTTGCACCATGCCCCCTCTAACATAAAAAAAATATATATTAATAAGTACCTACACATGAAAATGGGCTTAGGCCAGTAAAACTCAACTATTTGGTTAAACATAAATGTAGCTGTGGCTTTATTGTTTATGAATATTATATAAAACTAGCTTTTGCCCGCGGTAATGTCGGTTTTCGCGGTAAAAAGTGTGTATGTATTTCCTCAAGAATCAAAGTATCTCCATACAAAATTTCATCGAAATCGGTTAAGCGGTTATTAAATGCCCATACAAACTTCTACCCCCCTTTTCACCCTCTTAAAGGATGATTTCTGGGAAAATAACTACTCTATGTCCTTGCCCGGGACCTAGACTATCTATATACCAAATTTCTTCTAAATCGATTCAGTGGTTTAAGCTCGAAGAGGTAATAGAAAGACAGACACAGTTTCGCATTTATAGTATTGGTATGGATATAATATTAGTGTGGATAAATATCCTAACCAACTCTCTTAGTGTTTTCTAATATATATATTACTTTAGTAATAATATATACTAAAGTAATGTATATATATTAGAAAACCACATAGCCTGTTTATTTGAAACTAATTAAAAGTACCATAGTATTCTATACAAATGTCACATAGTTATGATCAAAAATGACGATTCGGTTGTGTTGATAAAATCGATAAATAAATTCTGGAGAAATATTAAAAGTACAATATGTTTTGTGCTTTTAATATTTCTCCGGAAGTTTGTTATGAATAAATACTATATAGTTTAAAATTTTAGAACATTAAGTAATATACAGACCAAGACAAAGTCCTACTTTAGTTTAAGCCTTTTTCGTTACGTTCTTTGCAGTGGTTGTGAACGTCACACCAGCTATGATGGCAATCTTCAAAATCCGTGCCCATTCTGAACCGGTAGCTTTACATATAATAGCTGTTTTTCTTAATTTGTGCAACAAAACAACATTTAGACAACTGTGTGTGTAGTTTCGTATTATTAGTTCCAACATAGTCATTACTGGCGACCTCTGGTGCCTTCATTTTAGCCAGCATTAGAATGCTGTCTTTTATTAAATTTTTGATTAAGAGTCAATTTTAAGATTTAAAGTTCTTGAATCGTTTTTAATTTATCGAGATATTATTATTTTGTTTCAGATTTCGATAGTACACAGAAATTAAAACCAATTCTTAGAACAGTTGAAAACGATTTGGAAATAATAGATGATCCTATGGAAGATGAATATGTTCCGCCAAAGTTATCGTCAAATATATTGAATCGTCAAACTAGCCTACAGCTTAAAATAATTGCTCATAATGATGATATTCACGATAAGAGAATTGCTACTATTCACAGGTAATATTTTTTTAAAGTAGGTGGTAGTACAAACGTTTAATGGTTTAAGAATAAAAGCATCTGTAAATTATATTATAAAGTGTTACCTATGTAGCATTCTTGTACTTTAAATGGCTGGAAACATTATGGTGGCAGTTTATGTAATGGATTTAGAATAAAAACTATCACAGAATAGTTAGTTAATAGTTGTAGATCTACAATATCCTCAGAAAAATACTTCAGGTACAGGTTAAAAAAGGATCGTAAGAAGGAACCATCCATAAATTACGTCACACTTTAACAGGGGTCGGGTGGTCGAAGCGTGACGAGGGAACCTAAGTTCCTCACGTCACGACGTCACATTCCAAAACCATGAAATTTAAATTATTAACTTACTAACGAAAACCAATTTCGCAACTTTTGGTTTAATTTAACATTTTTTTTAAAGGACTTTGTCGCTATGCAACCAGATCGCCCTGTGACAGTACGAACACATTAGTTAACATCTAATATCGACTGCACGGATGGCGTAGTGGTTTAAGCGGTCGCCACGCCGCTTCCTACTGCGCCGAGTGTTGTGGGTTCAAACCCCACATGGGACGACACTTTGTGTGATCCACAAATTGTTGTTCTGAGTCTGGGTGTTCTTTGTGTCCGTTTCATGTATGTTGTAAAGTACCCCGCGACACAGGATTTATTCCTAATGCGGGCGTTGTCTTTAAAAAATATATATATATACACACAACTCCACTAACTTATATAACATGTGGGCTTCAAACAACACAGGGTTGGCCAGAACACTATTACAAAGGCCGATATTCATACCTCTCGAGACCGCTAAATGTTTCCTGTAAGTTCTGTTCATTACAGATTCAAAAATAATGTGTAATACATCATCGGTCACACCGCAGTTCTCACAGTTGGGAGATGAGACTTTGCCCATTAAAAATGCGAATTTATTAGAAGCTATATGACCTGTGCGAAACCTTAAGGCAGTTACCAAAGCTTTTCTATTAAGTTCCACGTTTTTGACCCATGGGTATTTAGGTACTTCTCGATCTCTCATCAAAATATTCTTGGCAACACATATGACATTTTTCTTTCACGAGTGGTGTAGTCAGTATGTAAATTCAATACTTTTAATGTGATGCCATTAAAGCATGCTTCTTTTGCTAATTGATGAACAATATCACTCTCCCCAATGCTAACATGTAAGGGAATCCATCAGCCAATCCAACTCGTCCGTCTTTGGATCCATCTGTATAAATCTTATGATATCTGTCGTGTATCGTTGATCTACAAAATTGACACAAGTATTTCGCAGGTCATAGGTTTATACAAATGTTTACCTTTATTCACTGATGACATAGAATCACAAACAAACAATTATGAACCGTTTTAGCTTTTAACCCGAATTTACAAGCCAAGTTTTGCCGACGATATTGAAGTGGTGTTAAGTGTAATTAACTCTCCATTGTGTGTATTGGAGTACTCCGGATAAAGCCTCCTATAACCCGCAATGCTTGGTCCTGGCCTTTGTCGAGTTTATATAAGTTTTATAACTATAGTCAAATAAGAAACTACGATAGTCCAATCTACTTCGGAAGAGATATATATATATACAGACAGACGTGAATTAAATTATGTACCTGTTTTATGTACCAATGACTACTTAATAAATGATTATAAAAGAAATGAGAACCTTACCCTTCTAAATTTTGATTACCACAATAATTCAAATACATAGAATCCTCCATTTTTCCAATTCAGAAGATGATTATGTACCTGTGTTATGCACCAATGACTACTTAAATGATTATAACAGAAATGAAAATATGAATATATACGTAATCAATCGATTTTAATTTTTCATTTTACCAATTATTTCTCAATGACAAAATATATTATTTAAGTATTCGGTATTCGGCCGAATAATATGTAGATATTCGGTATTCGGCCGAATATAATAAAAGCAGCCGAATAGGCCGAATACCGAATAGTAACCGAATATTCGTTGCAAGTCTAGTTTTTATAAAACAAAATCATCCGCGTATTACAAGATTTCAACATTTTGTATTTTTTTTACATATGTTTGAGGTTGCTATGTTGAATAGTAGCGGGGAAAGTGGATCTCCCTGAGCTAAACCACGACCGGTGGTCCAAGATATATCGACATCAACGTCAACGTGTAATCGTCTCGTAAATTGTTTTGTGTAAACAAGGCGAGTGCGAATTGTTTAGGCAAAGCTGTATTGTGTGTGACTGACACTTAAAATTTATCTTGCACTGCCTGACTGTCCCTACAAACCACTTTATTCCTTGTATAAACTGTATTCCATTCTTCTGATGAGTTATCCTCTCTAGTTTGCTTGTATTCGGTCACTGCATTACATTCTGCCCTCCGTTTCATTCACAAGGTTAGTACTGTTGAGAGCGATCACTCATCGCGCACGAGCGGGCCCGGCGTATCGGTCGGGAGCACATTTATCGCAGATTTCGACACGAGGTGGCACCGGCGAGTGAACAATTTTTAGATGCCAAATTGTTAAATTTAAATATGTGACGTCACGCTACACTGGGGGGGTAGTCAAAACACCTTGACATTCGTGTAACGTAATTTTTGAATTGCCCTGAACTACAGAACTATTTCTATGCTACGTATTGATTTATAATCTATAGGTAGCATAACATCATGTATTTACCAGTAAGTTTTGTTTACATTTCTTTTAGGTCTGCCATTTCAGATAAAGATAAAAGTCCACCTAGACCACCTTCTATTCTTAAGAAACGTCCAATGGCTGCTTTAAGAACTGATACAAAGATTCAGAAAGTTGATAAACCCTTGGAGTACAGGATTATAGTTAGCAATTTAAGAAACACTGTTACCGCAGGAGACATAGAGGTATGTGTTTATGGTCAGTTTTAACTCGACTGTACCAGGAGGAGCATTGTATTTTTTAAATATGTATGTATATTTCTTTAGCACCCTCTGTAGCCTAAACGGTTGGATGAATTTTAGCGTTTGTGGTGTGTTAGATTCGTCTTAATTGTCTTAAAAGTAACTCTGTGTATATAAAAATTAAAATCTCCGGTTTATAAATTTTAAGTCTCGACAGCTCAAACATAAACCTATGTGGTTTCTCCAGAAGCTGTCGTTTTGTAAACTTTCTCTGTCAAGTTGTTTTATGTGATAATGTATACATTTTGATGCAGTCGGATTGTTTTTTCAATAATTGGGTGTAAATGTTATTATTTATTCAGTTTGGTGATTATTACAATATATGTATAGGAATATATACTTTAGTGATACTAATAGTTTTTTATCACTGCAGATATAATTGCTTCCGTCTTTTTAAAGGTTTGAATATCTTTTAGGAGTTATTTGGCGATGTTGGTGGCATGTTAGAGTCCCGTTTAGTGCGACCTGGCACTGCAGAAGTAATTTATAAGACTCAGGAAGACGCTCAAAAAGCGGTTGACTTGTATCACAATAGACAGTTAGACGGCCAGCCCATGAATTGTCTTCTTGTAACTCCAAGATCACCCACAGCAACAACAGCTCGGTAATATATGTATATAATTTATAACTTAAGTTATAATTTAATTAAAAGCTAATTTTGGAATAACTTTTTTTTTTTTGCTTCAGGAACAGCAACAAGCCTGCTTTATATAGCACGAATTCGAATGTAGAACCTGACATTTCTACCTTTCATAAAGTATTATTCAGTAATTTGTAATTTTTTGTGTGTTACTTGTAACTATAATAGTGCAACCCATTGTTATTTTTTAAGTAAAAACTAAAAGGAAAAACAAGTAGTTTATATTAATAATACTTGTTAGTAACATAAAAGTTACCCATTTCTTTAGTTCAGATTTAGAAATAATTCATGATTGATAATAAAAATAAAATATGTGGTACATGTATAATAAAATGAAATAGCTGACACTGTACTCCAAGTACGAGTTTGCATAAGAAAATAGTAATTATGAACAAAAATTTTCGTTACTACTGAATCATGTACTTTGTAGTTCATTCGTGCCGAGTTCTTAATGGGAGAACTAAGCAGCCCCATGAAAATGGGTGCCAAAAGTTTATGGTATATACAATTTTATTTTGTGAATAAAAATGACATCATTTTATTCAGGGGCTTTGACTCTTTTTTGTTTTTGATATCTAAGCCGAGGATGTTAAATACGTTGAAAAGTTTGGATAATATCTTAACAATGTGAGTAAAGTGATGATGCGAGTAAAATTAATACCGCTAAAGAAAAAACAATAAGACATAACGATTGTCACAGTTAAGTATTCAGCTTCGGAAGTTTGTATGATAAAAAAGACTAGGAATTAATCATAATATGAAGACAAATCTATTATACTTTGTGAAACTTAGCGCATACCTTGAAATTTTCAAATTTCTAGGCTAAGTTGCGAACTCGCACTAGGAGCATAGTTTTAAGATTTACTTAGACTAGCACTATAACCATTTTATATATGTTATCTATATTGAGTATTGCATACTGAGTTTTAGTTCACCATTATCGAATGGTGACAAAGTCTTGTAATTTTTTTTAATAAACTATCCTCTACCAACTTGTTTTTTTTTTTATTTACTTATTTACGCTTTTAGACTACGTTAAAAATAATTTAGTTGACATTGTCCTTAGCTTTGTCACAAAAAGGGCTGGTCTATGGTATCTATTGCCGTAAAACCTCAATTTGATTAGAAAATAAAAATGTCCTTGTCCTTCAACAAAAGATGGAACTCCTTCCTGATAAGCCGGCAACGCGCTTGTTGTAGCTCCTGAGTTGCAGGCGTTTATGGGCGGCGGTATTCACTTTCTATCAGGGGACCCTTATGTTCGTTAGCCGCTTCTTCCATAAAAAACAAAGGTTTTAGGTGTCCTAAAAACTCATAGTCATCGATACTGCAGTTAGTGCAGCGTAGTCATTTAAAATCCAAGAGTCAACGGGTTTTGTTATTATTACTAAACAGTATCGGTCGTTTTCTCATGCTCAGGTCAACCTCGTGTTGTTCTTTGATTGAAACCAAAAGTAGTCCACGGTAATGATAGTGGAATAATAGACTCGTCTGCCAGTCATCGCGTGCTTTTAGTAGTTTTGGTAATCTTAAAAATTTATAGACCGCACATAAAAGCCAGTGCCCTAGTATGACAGACTACCAAAAAACTTGCGCATTAGGCGGTCGTCGACAGTGACCAATAAAATTGTGCAGTACAAAAAAACCTTCATGAGCAGTTTACTAGACTCTAAATTCACGAGTTTCGTAACTAACAAGATTTGACACAATCAAACAGAAGTGTAAGTGGTAACACCGTATACAAGTGAGTATTTTTTTACCTTTTACCATATCGGCAAATCCAATTTTTTGCTCACTTCTGTACTGGGTTTTGAAAACGTTAATAGCATCCCTTTATAACTTATTGCCCGCATGTAGTAATACCGGCTTTTCTCTTTTACAATACATTTTTATTATGTTTCATCCATGATAAAATCCACTTTCAAACGCACCATATTATAAAATTAAAAATATCTTATTTTAATGATCAGTAGATTAGAAAATTAGGCAGCTATGTAAATAAATAAATAAATATTAAAAAGAATCAGAAGTCCAGGACATTAAAATGAAACAAAAACCATTGCGTTATAGTCGGGGGGCCGTTTGTGAGCAAATAAGCAGCAGTGCTACTTACATTGGTTCCGTCAATATGCGCATGCATGATCTATTGTACCCAACTGATCCACCATTTACCCAGTTACCCTACTGCTAAATTCAAAAGCAAATCTTTCTTTGAATTACAAAAGCGACTTCAAAGTTATTGTCATTAATTCATTTTCCTTTATTTATGTTGAGGCTTGAAAATATAGATTTTAAACTTAGTTTCCTTTTGTTTTTAATTGTACGTTCCTTCCCCTCAGGAATTATGATTTCTTTTACCCTAGCGTCCGCTAGCGTCCGCTAGGGTAAAAGAATCAAGAAATCATAATTCGCAGTGTTTCTGTAAATTAGTCAATGTCCTTGTGATTTTATTCCATCTCAGCCTAATCCTTGATCTATCACCATCAGGCTTTATTAGGATTTTGTAAATCACATTTGACTCACTCACGAAAAAAACAGAACAACACTATCATTGTGTAATAAATACTAATTAGTATTTATAACACACATAAATGACACTATTTCTTTATTATCTATGCCGCTCATCATTATCATTTAATTTTTGATTACGTAGGTTAGGGTTGCTAGGTAGGTACGTCAGATGCTATTTAACAGTAAGTAGTCTAGTATTTTTTAATGATTATGTAGATAGCTATAGTATATAGCTAAATAAAATAAAACAATTACTAGACAGGCGAAATAGGGTCTTTATGCATCGTCTAGAAACAGCTTATTGGCAACAACGCGTGAGTAAGTAGTCATCATCAACAGCCTTTAATAGTCCACTGCTGGACCTAGGCCTCTCCTTAGTAAGGAGGTTTTGGCCTACTATACCACGCTGGCCAGAGGGGTTGGTATAGGGTTTGTGTCAAGTTTTCCTTCTTTTTGCAGTGCTGGTGTCCTGCGGTGTTTTGCGCCCTTAGTCGGCTCTTACGACACCCACGGGATGAATTGGGGTAGCGACATTCCGTATTCTTAATCCGTCACTACACGGACAAGTAGTAGCTCTAACCTACGTGCGAAAAAATCGAATGATAAATGCCTAGAAAAAATTGAAGTTGGCTTTCGAAGTCTGGCAACACTTAGAACTCGTTATCTCTTGTTATTTATCACAGACAGAGTGAGAGAGTACTACGTAGGTACATGTCTACATGTTATTTATTTCAAGCTTTGTTATGTTGATGGTGGCATTTTTATTTTACATAAATATCTGATTTATTTGTAAACGCGTTTGTCAGAATACTTACGTGATCGTATTTCCTGAACGTATTATAATCTTACGAAGTTTAAAATTATGGATAGGGAAGATGGTGAAATGAGTGACGACAATGCGATGGCTGTGGATGATGTAAAGGAACCAATTTCATTTGATAAAGATTGTGAAGTGGTAAGTTCAATGTAACTCTTGCTTTAATTCATGCAATTGAATCATGATCTCTAACTTATTCATGTTACGTTACTGCATACCATATTACGTATTCCATGGCATGTGGTAATAAAGTAGTAATTGTTATTTGTTTACCAATGTTATGTTCGCCTTTGTACATAGCATTTCCTGACTATATGTATATGTAATAGTTAATTATTGTGAACAATACAGAACAAATGAAATAATAACTCCACACATCTCACACAAGACAGTCTGAAGGCTAATTTTCGTAATAAAAGTTCGGTCTTAATCAGTTCCGATCAACTTTCGATCTCACAACTGTCATAAAAGGTATTAAAGTAGTAAAGTATTAAACGTCCAACGTTGACTGTAATGTGATTATATCGTATTGTAACCGTAAATTAAATAATTTACTACGAAAATACCTTTTTTGACAGTTGTGAGATCAAAAGTCGATCGGAACTGAATTGAGACCGAACTTTTATTACGAGAATTGGCCTTCTGATACCAAACTAGGCCTCTGCCTGTGATTCAACTCCCGGCTTAGCAGTCAGGGTCACTGAGCAACCATCAAAATGAAATAAAATAAATGTTATTTTGTTGCAGATATATAGAGCTGCTAAAACTGGGTTGGTCATTGAAAAATTGGAAAAAGTTGATGCTTCTAAGATAGAAGAAAGGGCTAAGAGATTCGGTCTTAATCTGACTGGAAATAGAGTGATCACACAGAGACAAATTGATGAATTATATGCTAATTGTGGTATAGAAAGTGGAAATGAAAGACATTTTCGCTTTGATGCAATCAATTTAAGTGGTGTTGATGGCCTTACTACTAAAGAGATATTCCAATATATGGAAGACTATAAACCTTTGTCTCTAGAATGGACAGATGACATTTCATGTAAGTTTAACACAACAAATTAACAATATTTTGTATTAGTGATTCATTGTGCACTCTCCAGTTAAAACAGTTTTCCTAAGGGCAATGTTTCATTTCGCAAGAAAATATTGTTTACAGAAATATCCACAAGGTGTTTACTTACTGTAGCTACTTTACATTTTTTATTATTCTACCATAGTACTTTATCAGTATCTAACAACTCCAATGGTAATGCTGGGTAATTATCTTTCATCCTGTAATTGTTTTTTTCGTTTATAGAGACAGATAAAAAATTAACACAAAGGCTTATGTTTGAGTCTTTAAGTTCTAAAAATCCACTAAAAGCTGCAAGTGCTTTGTAACATTTAATAGTTCTTTAGTTCTAAGGCAGATTTTTTTAAAAGGGACAGCCTTTAGTTCTTTTTTATTATCATTCTCTTTATTTATTTTATACACAAATTAATTATATTTTTAAACACACTTTATAGAAAATGAAAAAATACATTTAAAAATATAATAAATAGTAGACAAACGGCATTGGGTATTTTATTATAAATTTTTTAATTCATCTGGAAGCTTGTAAAAAGAATGCAATACCGAGTCCATTTTAGTAAAGGCTTATTTTTTGCAAAAGAAAGAACTAAAACAACTTAAGCTGTGATTTTAGGTCTAGTCTCAAGAAAAGACAAGTCCTATTTGTTTGAGACTTAGGACTAGAGTCTTTTACAACACTACCTGGCAGACCATTGAAATTAATTTAGGAGTTTCAGAAGAAATTCATTTAGGAGTTTTAAAAGAAATTCATCTAATTACATTCTACTATTACTAAATCTAGTATTAGTATTATGAGAGAAGTAACATTTAAAAACTGATAATTATTTTCAGGTAATGTTGTGTGTCAAGATCATATTTCAGCAGCATTGGCACTATTGGTTCACTCTAGGGAAATCAAAGATGAAAACCTGAAGCAAATACTTTCCGAGAAATCATATCATCATTGGCGAGAGGGTATGCCCCATCCAAACAAAGATTTAATATTGATGAGATTTGCAACAAATGGAGATAAAAAAATTGCCAGAAAGAAACCACATAGCAAAAATGTTGATGAATATTATGATCAAACAATGGATTCTATCAATAAAAATCCATGGGGAGATCTATGTAAATCATGGGGGGTGTATGATCATCAGGAAGTATTTCAGCGTAAGCCTATATATAACGATCAGGATATAGAAGAACCTGTTAAGGTTGTTAAGTTAAAAAACAAGAGTTTAGCAAGCAGGTTAGGAAAAAGACGTATAGAAAGCAATCAGTATAAAGATATACAGTCTGATGACAGTAGCTCAGATTCAGAATGGAAAGTAAAATCGAAAACACCTAGAATGAGGATGCATGCTGATGATGAAGAATCAAGACAGAAGAGAAAACAGACACAGTATGCTAAAGAGTCACCTGCTGATGGGTTTTCTCCATTGTCAATTGAAATTGAAAATTCTAGCAATCATTATTTATTAAGAAAACAAACAATACTGTCAGAAAAGTTTAAGAAGCATGTTACTCATAAACAAAAACATGGCATACAATCACGTTTAGGTGATAAGGTAGTTTCAGTAGAAAATAGTCGATCTAGTATAGAGTCATCGGATGACTCTGATAGCAACGTCACTAGCAGGGTACATAAAGTAAACAGCACAATAAAAAGTACAAACAGTGTGTGGTCCAGATTAGATATGAACCAGAGTAATTCAAGTGCTCAGAATACTCATAAGGACTTGCGCCAAGTATTGAAATCAAGAAAGCATAAAAATTCAAATGACTTGAGAGACAGATTAGGCCAGCCGAGGCAGAGTAATTTAAGAATTGAAATAGATAATACTTATGCACATGATTTATAGTGCTCTTTATAGCTTAATTTGATTTGTTACAGAATTACACTTGTAGTGTACTAGAATAAATATTTTGACATTAGATTAATAAAATTTATGATTAAGAGATGAAATTGTCCCCATAGATTAAAAAGTCAATAAGTCATAAAAATCTGTTTTCTTAGATAATGAGAGCCAGTTTTGAAATATATAAATCCATCCATATTTTTATGTTTTTAATTTTATTTTAAAGGAACTTAAATCAAATTAATATTACAAGTAAAAATGAATTAATTAATGAGAAAACTTAAAAATGCAAATTAATTATTTGTTCTCTGTAGAATGTCTGAGTTAGTTATGAATTAGTTAAATTTCGCCTTCAGTAATTTTTTACTCAGTTCTAAATTATTTTTAAGGAAGACAACTCCATAGTTAATTTTCGCTCACTCACTACATCTTTTTAGGGATTTTACTGTACCTGAAGACCGAAGTATGCATTGGAAATTTAGTAAAAAAAGTAACTAAATCGTTCTAGTTATTCCTCTCATTTTCCTTTGGGGCCAAAGGATAGATTTACTTACTTTTCACATTTCGTAAATCGGAAACGAACACACCTACAAAATTGATGGTTAGACATTGAAACCTCATTTTGGCAATTTTTCGACTTATGGACCTTTCGATCTATAAGGATCAAATATTGTTTTAATATTGATATACATGCATGTAGGCACTGAATGGTGTTAAGTCCACTGCATAATGTACCATCTCTGAATTGTGCTTTTGCAAAAGATGTTTTCATAACTAATTTGTTTTTTTTTTCAATGAATTACAAGATGTATTTTAAATATATGATATTGTATTATTAGGGGATAAATAATATTAAAAATTATATATCCCCATACCTTCAGTATTACCTATTCAGTCATCAATGACCAAAAATATAGAAACAGAAAAATACCAACAAATCCTGGTTTTAATTTTGTATTATTTGCAAGGAAAAGGTTTAATTTTTCTACATTTTGTAATAAGCTACTTTCGCTAAACAATCGTTTTAAATCGTAAAAAGGTATATTTCGGTTTAACGGTTTTTTCATTTTAAACGGATTGGTTTAATTGGGTTTAAACCGGCCTGTCTTGTCGAAAAAAGAACTATTAGCTACAGATCAATATTTTACGACTCACACAATCCATCTAGCTTTTCTTTGATCTTCCGCTTCTCTTGTAACCTTCCTCATCTCTCTTAGCCAATTCTACAACTTAATTCTTCCTCACAGATAGATTTTCGTATAGTAGAGCAAAAGGTATTCAAAAATTAAATAGAAGTTATGGTTACCTTACTCGAACATTGTATGAGATAACATTATTTTTGAGATTACAGGGGTTGAAAACTGTTCTGAGGGTAACACGATATGTCATTCTAATGAGATGAATATGTCGAATAAGTTGATGTTCTCGCCAAAATTCTAGCAGCTATAGAAAATGATGAGATATAAGGTTACAAAGTAACGTTTCGACTGCGCGGCCACGTACTTACCGTTTTTGAATCTGTAGCGTATAGTTCTTTTTTCGACAAATTTGGTCTTCGATTGACAATAAGAATTAGAACTTAAGTAGTTGCTGAGATCTCTAAGTACAACTTAAAACCCTTATAACTTCTTTATTTCTACTTAGACAATTTTTGGTTTGTTCCCTCCGATTTTGACAAATTTCGACAAATTTTTGGCATAGTTTTTTTTTCTATTTCGATATCGTGGCGGAGCAATCGAAACGCAAACTCCTGATGCAAGTTGAGGGCAAGGTGTTGAACGCATTGGCAATGTCCAAGGAAACCACCAACATCACCTTCGCCCCGGGAAACTGTTTCCTCCGCCAGAGGCGCGCATGATCACATTCATGGTAGAGCGCAGTTATACCCCAGTTATATATTATAGTTAAAATTATCAAGAGGTATAACAAGAATTCCTTAGATAAATAACAAACCCAACTGGTTCAAAAATACTAATTAATAAACATGTAGGATGTACCTACCTACCTATTATATTTGTAAAAACCTTTTGACACTAACCTACTCGAAAAAAAACATTATCACAGAAATCCTAGAAAAATGTAGAAATGTTAAATTATAATAAATTACTGATTTTAAAGAAAAGTTTACTAAAACGTGTATTATTTTAAAACCTTAAATAAAATGAGAGGGTATTTTTTTAAATGTTTGTTACCAATTAGAAAATTTGTATTTTAAACGGTTGGTTGGTTTTATTTAACTTGCAGTGTAGTTGTCCGTGTAGTGACGGATTAAGAATACGGAATGTCATTACCCCAATTCACCCCGTGGGTGTCGTAAGAGCCGAAGAAGGAAAACTTGATACAAACCCCATAGCAACCCAGCCAAAGCCAAAACCTCCTTTCTAAGGAGAGACCTATGTCTATTTGACCGATCGATCTGAAATTTGGTACACATCTTTTGTTGATGACAGTACAATAATATATATTCAGTATCATTGTAAGTCCAAGATGGCCGACACCACAAAATGGCGGATTACTGTTTTTTCAATCCCCTCAATCTAGGTGTCAAATGAAAGGTCTTGACTAGTAAAATACAGTACATTATCATTATCACTATCTAATTACTATCAATACATTTTATAGATCAAAGTCCCACGAAGCGTCTGCCTGTCTGTATGAACCATAAAGATGTAAGCATGGAGTGAACAATAGCCCAATGTCAATGTAATAAAGGCAACGAGATCGATGCTAGATAGTTCCCTCCATCTCTTTCAAGTCAAGCTCTGTGGTTGGCTGGGGAATGTGAGGAGTTAATAAGGAAAACTGAGTTGTTTTTTTCATTTTCCAAACTGTAAACTCTTTTTAATGAAAAGCTCTAAATTTAAAACGAAAAATTAAGCACTGTTTTCAATGTTTTCACACGTAAGTTAAATTCTAACCTCAATCATTTTCATTTTATTCCCATTATTCTACAAGTGTATGAAATTTATCAGGTTTCCTAAAAATGCTGTTTTATTATAGGTAAATACAAGATTAAGATAAATATTAGTTAACTTTTAGGTTTTTAAGAATTTAGGTAAATACATAGAAATTCGAATGGCACACGAATCAAAACTTACAAATGATCAAAAGTATCGAGTCCGCATGCGAAAATAAAATTACAATGTTTATGCACCGTAATATAATGTAATATGTATAAAATAACTTTGTCTTACAATATATGACTTATAATATTAAATTTTTATGTCTCATTTCTTTCTTTGGTTGAACGAGACTTCATTTATTTAATAAATAATAATAAAATCGTTAATTTAAATTATGTACGAATTTTCTCATATTGTTTATCAGTTGAGGTTATTCAGTTTAAACTGCTGTCGTTCAGGATTCCGACTATCAATTACTTTGCTACTTATGCGTTTAAACGGCGTTTACACGGCTTGTGTTTGCGTGTTTTGTATACCTCGTGTTCGAATTATTTACACCCAATTTGTTTGCGAAATTTCGAATCTCCCGCCTGTTCTAAGATCAAAACTATGCTCACTTCATCGCTCGCTAAACAGAGACAGGGGGAACTATCAGGGGCGAAGTCGTGTTGGCCGTGTCCTTGGCACTTGTGCAGTGGCGCGGCTGCTGCCCAACGTGAAAGGACCCGATGACTGCTACAGAAGACTCTACTTGGGGGTTGTGCGGTCCATGGCCCTTTATGGGGCCCCAGTATGGGCGGGGGCCCTAAAGGCCAGCAACGTCGCACTACTGCGATGACCGCTGCGAGTGCTGGCCATCAGGATCATAAAGGGGTACCGCACGATCTCCTTTGAGGCGGCGAGTCTCCTGGCCGGAACTCCATTGTGGGACCTAGAGGCGAGAGCCCTTGCGGCTCTCTATCAGTGGCGCAAGAAGGCGCGGAAGTTGGGTCGGAGTCCTGAGACTCGAGTAATCGATGACCGGAAATCCCAACTCCGCCGGATCCTCGTAGGGGAGTGGAAGGAACGACTTGGGCAACCGAGCGCCGTGCACGCTGTCATCGCGGCGGTAAGACCCGTAATGGAGGATTGGCTCGAGAGGCATCACGGGACCCTCTCATACCGACTGACGCAGGTGATCACTGGGAAAGGATGTTTCGGGGATCACCTGTGTCTGATCCGCAAGGAGCCAACGCCTGAGTGCCACCACTGGATGGTCGGACCGTAGACACTCCACATGCTGTCAGAATGCCCGGCGTGGGTGGAGCAGAGGCGAGACCTCATGGCGGCCATCGGAGTGGGAGTTCTCTCGCTCGATAACCTGATTGCGGCTATCGTGCGAAGCGAGAGTGCGTGGAACTCTGCCGTCTCCTTGTAATGGAACGAGTCCTGCTAATTTTATTTTGAAAATGACAATATTAGGTTCTGTGTGTAGTGTAGTGTGAAACTGAGTGAATTAGCAGTCTTAATTTTATTGGGTTATCGGTATCAACATCCATAATGCCGTGAGTGACCTTCACAGCCGCGGAATATTCTGCCATGATGTTAATTTATGGGAAACTCTATCAAAACGCATCTTTTGTTTTAAGGACAGGTATGGAGTAAATCGTGTATGTCCTACAGACTGCCGAATTTTTGTAAGGGCGGTACAAAGATTACGAGACAACCAAAGTACCTACTTTTTCAAGGAGTGACACGTACTGCCGGGTCCGAAGCTAGTCGAGCATGCCCAAAATAAACACGTGAGTAAAATCGTATTCTTAATAAATAGATTTAAAAAAGCAAGTGAAGTGATTAGTAGGTAGGTAATAAGAACATAAAGTTCGCCGGCTCGTCGCGGCGGTGGCGGCGGCGTCGCTTTAATGTCGCTGACATTGCGACGCTGCCGTGTACAGTTCACCGACTCATGTTATCAATGGTGTTCTAATTCGGAAATTATTTTGTTGTATTTAGTTTTTTTCTAAATTTGAATATCTGTATTTTCGTACTATTTTTTTTATTTTTTATTTTAACCGACGTATATTGAACCGTGTTATCTGTTATTTAATTTTTTGTGATATGTATCATAACACCCGTTATAATATAGTGCAGTGGCGGATTTACATATTTGCCGCCTGTTATTGCCGGCTATTAAATTTTTGCCGCCCCTTCTCTACAATTTAATACTCTTTCTTTTACGTGTGGAAACACCCTCGGGCCAACTCACTGGGATATGAAAAGGGGTGGTGTGTCGGAATTGAACCGACTGAAATCATACGGTGTACTACTCTGTGCCTCAAAATAGGAGGGATCCGGAAACAGCTGTTATTCAGACATCCGGACTCTCAATTCAATACCCTAGTTCAGCGTTGTCCAAACCGCATCGAGGTGCTGGAGGATCTCGATCGTGAGTCTGCCGCCCTTATTTTTCGCCCTTTTCGGAGACTGTCCAACCCAGCTTCCTGCAGGAAGTGGTCTTTTCCCACAACGGGTGGAATACACACCCCCGCTGATGGCCTCCTTGGCCAGAAACGACGGGAAAAACATGAATGATGTCCCACTCGTCATGGATGCGGAGGTAGTTGCAGCTGTTCTACGGATCCGTTCCAAGAACTCCGCCCTCGGACCAGACGCGATACCTGCCCGAGTGCTGGCCAAAGCCCTCGAACCTACGTCAGACCCCTTTAGAGATGGTGCTCGATGCTAGCTTGGCGTCCGGACGTTTTCGTAACCGCGAATGGCTCTAACCTCCAATATCTCTTCTGAGGGCGCTGAGTCAGAGCAAGCTGTCAGAAGTGCTCGTCGAAGAGCCACCTCCGGTCAAGAATCAGGCCCTAATACTTTATCTGGGCCTGAACCCGTATGAGGACCGAATCGACCACGATGGAGGCGCTGGGGGGAGGGGGACCACGACGGGGCCCATGGAACAAGAGGACCTTCGTCTTATTCAGGGCCACCCGTAAGCCTCGATGATGAGTGGTGTCTAGGACTTACCAAGTTAATTTTCAGCTTTTAGTGCATTGTGTACATCATCATTTTCTTTCTTTCTAATAAAATCGTTTACCTTAAAACGTTTTTTACCTATTTTATATTTGGGAGAGTTTACCGTTGTCCTCATTCAACAATTCCACTCCTAAGGGTTTCCACCCTTAAGAGTTTTCCATTAAGGGATGACGAATAGGTAGTTTATTACAAATTACCAGGAGATGTTGGAGCTTTAGGGCTATATATGTTCTGTGTGTTGGAGAGCAGTGAAGTCGGTGATACTATATTGAAAAGTAACTTTCAAGCTGCCTTTGAGAGAAAATCTGTGCTGCTGTAAATCGTAATTTTCGAAATCAAAGATTTGTGCTTATATTAAAAACATTTTGTGCTTATTTTTTGTTTAAATTTAACTTGCATTAAAAATAATATGTACCAGGCATGCCTTTTAAGTTCTGTCGTTTCCATATTTCCCGGCAATTTTGAATTTGGGACTGTTCTATTTTCGAATGTGTTTAAATTTTGAATCTCAAAACCATTGATATAATACCTCAAAACAGTTTAAAATATTAGGATTAATGCTTTTGTTTAGTCACAGCGTCGATTGGAATCTGTCAGGTTACGTACGAAAATGAATCTTTCTGAGGAAAATGTTCGTGAAATAATTTTCTACAACTCTAGAAGAGGCCTGACACGGCTTCAGTGTTTTGAAGAGCTAACATCTGTGTTCAGTGATGAAGCCCCATGTCTGCGGACTGTCGAACGCTGGTATTTAGAATTCCAGCGTGGGCATACTAGTGTTAGGGACAAATTTTGCGAAGGACGCCCAAAATCCGCCTTCACTGAAGATAACATCATTGTTGTAAGACAACTAATTCTCGAAGATCTTCACGTGTCGTATTGAGAGCTAGAGGCTCTATTATGCATCTCAGGGACAACCATTCAGAAGATCTTGCATGAAGCGCTTGGTGTGAGAAAGCTAGTTTGCCGTTGGATAACCGCATCTGCTTTCCGACGATCACAAGGCGGCCCGCGTCAGATGGTGTAAGAAAACTCTGCAAAGGTTCAACCGAGGAGAATCAAATCACGTCTACGACATCATCAGTGGTGACGAATCTTGGATCTATGCCTACGATCCTGATTTCAAACAGCAATCTACAATCTGGGTCTTTCATGACGAGCCAAAGCCGACTAAAGTTGTTCGTTCTCGAAGCACTTCAAAGAAGATGGTGGCCACGTTCGTTGGAAAAACCGGCCATGTTGCGACTATTGCACTTACCACACACTTAGTTTGTTTACCACAAGTCATCGCCGAACTTCGAAAATCTAACTCAAAGCGACGCATCATCCTGCACCACGACAACGCAAGCTCACACAGCGCTCGTCAAACGATTATTTGAAGCAGGAAAAAGTAGAAATGGTTGACCATCCTCCATACAGTCCTGACCTAAGCCCTAATGATTTCTTTACATTTCCTAAAATTAAGGAGTCTTCGTGGTCAAAGGTTCCAGTCCGGTGAAGAAGCAGTCGACGCTTTCAAGTCAGCCGTTTTGAACACCCCCACTTTAGTGTAATAAATGTTATAATAACTGGTTTGAGCGAATGGAAAAGTGTATTAAGCCACGTGATGAATACTTTGAAAAACAATAAAAAGTACTATAAGGTTCCTGTTGTTTTTTTCTTCAAAAGACAAAACTTAAAAGGCATGCCTCGTATGTAGCTCAAACGCTTTCTTACTTCACGATTACCAAATAATAAGTTGCTGCTACTGTTACTGTTATTAGTGGAACAGTACTGACAGGCTACATACTACTTGACTGCGACATATATCTATTTAAAACGCGATCAATTTTGAGAATTTCTTTATCCACCTTCTTCGCAGTATCCATAAATAACATCGTTTGGACAGGATATGAAATGGGATTGCGATAATGAAAAAAAAACATTTAAGTAAATGATAGCCTTTTATTGTTGTGCTATTGATGTGCCCTTAAACTATGCAGAATAAGTAGCAGTACTGTGCTGTCATATATCAAAAATTTGTGAAATTAGTAGTGTTTTTATGAATATATTGTCGAAAATGATGGCCTACCAAGGAATGATATTCGAGAGTTTATATGTGGGGACGTGTACCGATCTCACATGTTATAATTTTGTTTAAGGTAGGTTACAACTTAATAGGTACAATAAATATAAACGTCTGTAACAAAGATGCAAAGGACTAGTTAAAATAGGTCTACTTAAATTTATATTACTCATATTACTTATTATAGTATTATGGAATGTTTCAAAACAAGTTTATAAATTGATAATTCGGAAGACGAGTATTTCAATTGACTAATTACAAAAACTTAATGCTAGTCTCAACATTTACATTTTAGTTAAATTAAAATCATAGTATAAAAATAATAACAATTTTATTATTCCATCCATACCATAGAAATAAAATGCTAGTAAACTTTTTTATTATGGTCTCTTTATTTATAATTTATTAGATTTTTAGAAATGTATAAAATTGTCCATTACAAATTATTAGTCACTATAGTATTTGTAGGAGATGTGGTGATGTTCACTTCCAAATATAAGGACAAGTTTAGTATTTTTTATAAACATCAATTATTATTTCAATACCTTTCTATAATATTTAACAGCATGTAAATTTCGAATATTTAATTGTTTTTGTAATTATTAAATAATAATAACTGTTAATATTGCAGAAACTTATAAAGTAAAAACTATGTGTTTTGAGTAAATAAATAAAATTTCTCACTTTATCATAAAGATACTGTATAAAATTAAATTAACCACCTGGGAGTAAAATATAATACTGACAACTTATTTCTGTTTTTATTAACCTAGGTGTTTGTTAATATGTTAGTTAAGTACAAAGAAATATAAATTATAAAACTTAATTAGTAGTGTAAAACATAATATCTATTAAATAGGCTGCAGATTTATATGAAACGAGTATATGTATTTAATTATATTTTCAATGTTGTATCAAAACTTAAAGCAAACCTTAAAATAATTTACATATTTGTAAAGAAGATCTGCCACTACAAACTGGATAAGAAATTGATAATGGCCTGGGCAATTTTCAAACGTATATAATGATAATATTAATGCCTTCTTGCGATTTTACACATTTTTTTAATTTTCTGCATTACTGATATAGTTATATTAGTAATGCAGAAAATTAATCTAAATCTTAATCTTTTTACTAATATAATTATAATATTTATCTAAAAATGTGGTTGAAGCATTTGTAGTCCAGAATAATTACACTTAGTATATTGATTAAATATTTTGTTCAGTATTCTGCATTATTTATATGATTAAGTACTTCACACAATAATGAAGAAACTTATATTGCATCGAAAAAGAATTGATTATCGATATATCTTCATCTATCATCATGTATAGTGAATTATTTCATGTAAATTTATTTGCGTACAATCTGATACTATTTTGTCAGATCTCCTTTACATGATTTTAAGTGGTTGTTAATTGAACACACGACATACCATAATATTAATTCTCATTATGTTAACATTATGTCAAGTTTGTCATTTAGTATCCTATCGCTATAATTATGCAAAGTCAACTTTACAGCTGGCACAAAGAAAGCAAAGCAACAGTTTGTTTATTACGGTTTACATTACCAAAATACCTAGATTTCTAATTCTGGCACGTAATTTCCACATTCAAGTCTAAAAAAATAAAAATATTTAAAACTTTTTTTAAACACCAGTGAATCAAATCATACAATTACATTTTATATTAATTTTGAATTCAGTGGAATGATTCAGTCTAACAAATAAGTAGGTACTCTCATCAAGTCTCTATTTTTTTTACCAAAAAGGTAAAATTTAGATAAAAAATTATGTGTCAGAATTCGTAACAATCTATTTTACTTTTTTGTCCTTCTCTGTTTTTGATGTCTGTTTATCTTCTTTGCGGTCACTCGTGTCATCTTTCTTCTTTGCAATCAACGTATGTTTGGCTTTCTTGAGTTGTTTTTTAACTTTGTCTTTTACCTTGTTCTTTTTTGGTGTTGGAAGTACTTCTACTGATTTCATAGATGAACTATTTGATTCACTGTTTCTTTGAGCTGAAATGCATAGGCGTACAAAAATTATATTATTGTCTATTTCATTACGTGAAAACAATATGTAGACAGAAGAGCATTCTTTTTTCAAGATGAAATCGCTCATGGATCGATAATCGCTCAGTGCAAATACTTGTATGTGTGAATCTGTCTGAAAGATTGATCTGAATATTTCTACGCATAATACACGGTGATTTTATAGGCGTTTTGGAAACGAAACATTTTAATTTCGAATCATCTATAGTACCAATAAAAATGGTTAAATCAATTGTAATGTTGACTAAAAAAAAGTTTCAGTTTTAATATTCATTTTTACTCGATCGACTTGGAAAGTAGTAATGCACTGATCATTCGTTCATTATCTTCGGCGGCCGCTGCGCACCGCTGACGCTAACAGCAGCTGATAAAAGTATACCTATAGGCGCGAGCTAGCGAGTACTTACGTAGATAGACTCCAGTTTGTCCTTCATACTTTACACGGGCTTAGGACCGTCGGAAATACCTATTTTATTTAAACTTCTTTTCGATTATTAACCACAATTGTTCTTTTCATAACAAATCAATTTATCAACGGACTGTAGGTATAAATATTTCAGGCGTATTTAAAAAATCGGAGCTATCTACATAATAATTAACTTACATACCTATTTACAGTTTATTTACACTATTTACACTTCTCTGTATCGAAGCAACTGCTCAAAATGGAGTCCGCTGCGTTCAATACACAAACGTCCACGTTTAATGCAATTGTTTTTTAATTTTCTTAATGTGTCTCTATCACTTTTCACTTTATCAAAAGCGTCCACTATCGCTTGGCTTTCATATTCCCGTGTATAAACAAGTCTTTTTATTTCCGACCATAAGAAAAAATCCAGAGGCGTTACGTTCGGGGTGCGTGGTCCGGAACCTCCGTGTGGTGCACCCTGGGTAACGGAGACGGCAGCGCCTCTCTCCCTAGGTGGGGTAGGCGCTGCCACCTGCGGCCAATTCCGGCCGAGGTGGGAACGGCCCGCCAAGGGCAGTTCGGAAGGCTGCTTTCCGCGTTTCCCTCTATTTGGCAGAGGGCATAGGGCAGCGGGCTGGGGGCGGACGGGTCTACTGCCGCTGGCTCTGTCCAGAGGTGGGGGACACTGGTTTGACGCAGACCACCGTCCGGCCATGTCGTTACCCTGACTGACACCAGTCAGGAATGACGGCTCTTCGAGGGCTACGAGGAAGGCAACCTCTATAAAAAATCCTGGGGCGGACGGACCCGGTCTGGTGCAGACCCCTTCCGGCCCAGCCGTAATCCTGAATGGACAGGACCGGTGGATCTTCGGATCCACGAGGACGTAAATCTCTATAAAAATGCTCTAAGCCCACGTTCTGACGCCTGGCAAGGGGCTGGGTCGCTGGAGGGAGTCCAGTGCCGAAGGCGTCCCCGTCGAAGGACGTAAAACTAAAAAAATGACATGAGGCCAATAGAGAAATCCACCCAGGAGGGTTCCGGGCACACAGTGTCTGGGGAATCCCTCCCGGAGCCAAACGGCTCCGGCAGCTCCTAGTCGTATTCTGGGGGAGCACCGAATGTCGAACCTGCCCGTCGCCGAGCAGTAAATCGGGGAATCGGGATCGAAGACGGGGAAACTGGTCCTCATCCAAAAGGAGGGGCGCCCGGCGGACTCACCGTCCGCCTACCGGCCCATAGTGTTGCTTGACGAGGTGTGCAAGCTCTTTGAAAGAGTGATTGCAAGGCGCCTCGTCAAGCATCTCGTGATGGTGGGGCCGGATCTGGCGGACAAGCAGTACGGTTTCCGTCAGGGGCGCTCCAACGTGGATGCGATCATGCGCGTGAAAGCTCTGGCGGAGGAAGCAGTTTATCGGGGCGAAGTGGTGTTGGCGGTGTCCTTGGACATTGCCAACGCGTTCAACACTCTGCCCTGGAGCTGCATCAGGGAGGCGCTCGTGTATCACGAAGTGACTCTCTACCTCCGCCGCATAGTCGGGGCATATTTGTCGGAGAGAGCCGTGGTCTACCCCAGTAGGACCGGTCTCGGTAGGCGTGAAATGTCGTGTGGTGTTCCACAGGGGTCGGTGTTAGGGCCACTCTTGTGGAACATCGGCTACGACTGGGTGCTTCGTGGTGCCTTCTTGGATGGTGTCGCCGTCGTGTGCTACGCGGACGACACGCTCGTGACGGCGCGCGGCAAGACGCACCACGAGGCAACCCTGAGGGCCACGGCCGGGGTTGCCCAAGTCGTTGAGCGTAACCGGCGGCTGGGTCTCGAGGTGGCTCTGCTCTGTTCTTCCACGGGCTTCGGAGGAAGCCGCCTGAGGGATCTAGCCTCACGGTAGGTCTAGCCTGATTGCGGCTATCGTGCGGAGCGAGAGTGCGTGGAACTCTGCCGTCTTCTTCTGCGAGCAAGTTATGCTCACGAAGGAGACGGCGGAGCGGGACCGGGAGAGGTTTAGAACTCTCCCGGCCCGCCAGGCCCGGGAACGGGCCAGGTACCGCAGGCGACTCAGGCGCCGGAGGTCGCAGAATGACCTCCGTCCTCCATAAGCGCAGGCCTGGGGGTGACAGGTGAGGCCATCTGTCACCCTAGCAGAAGCAGGCCGGGGTGGCGGCGAGCGCGTTGCGAAGCGCGCTCGCTTCCAGGGAGCAGAGGGAACATGGGATTCCCACACGGGGGGGGGGGGGGGGGTCGTCTACTTGTTGTAGATGGCCCAAGGTATGTCGGGGCACCAGGGACATAATTTCTAGGGTATACCTGGTTTCCCGGCTATTAGTACCCGAGACGGCGTGCGGTTTTAGTCGGTTCGAGTCCGACATGCCACCGATAGGTGGTATCCGAGGGGATTTTCGCACGGAAAAAAAAAGGGGGCGTTAAGTCCGGGCTTCTAGGTGGCCAAGGCACAGGCCCTCCTCGACCTATCCACCGATCACTAAACTCATTGTCCAGGTATGCACGCACTACACTCGCGTAATGAGCGGGACAGCCGTCGTGTTGGTAGTACATACCTCTCGAGTAAGCCACCGGCACATCGTCTACTAACTCAGATATTACTGACCTTAACATAAGTACGAGTTGCCGGTTAGATGATCTTCAATAAAAATAGGCCCTATTAATTGGTCGTTAATAATACCGGCCCAAACGTTCACACTGAAACGAACCTAGTGATGGTTTTCTCGTATCAAGTGGGGGTTAATTAGAGCCTAGTAATGCTCATTGTGCATATTGTATAGTCCCACTCGAGTAAACAGTGACTAGTCCGTCCGTCCGTTGTGTACGTAATATCTTCCATACGAAGTTTTGGCTAACATCGAATTCTCGTGCTGCCATCCTTGTGCTCCGCCGGGGATCGCGCTCGAACTACTCAAGAACATCTTCTTCAAACTCCGGCGAATAATAATTTAAACGTCCTTGACCTTGCGCATGAGTAGGCGCACGAAATTGCCCGTGGTCGAGAAGACGTTGGGTTGCAGCCAAGATGGTAGGTGTGGAGGGAATTTGAGGGCTTGCAATTCCACGTAGCCGTAGTGCATTTAAATGCTCCGGCTGGGAATATAAACGCCGAGCCTCTTCTAAGTTGTAGTTGGCAGTAGCGTACAGCTGTACCATTGCCAAGTACTCCACGTTTGAAAATTCGAACTGTCGACTCATTTTAGCGCTAATCAATGTAGCGTGCCGTCACGATGTTATGGTATTACTGACCGACTGAAAGCGAAGGACGCCTTACGATTACAGGTGAGTCCCGCGCATGCGCCTACGGGGCATACGACTCAGTGCAATGCCGTCATTGGTTGGACGACTCCGCGCAATTCGGTAGCTTTGTTTTTATTGGTGAATACGATTTTATGGGACTCGATATTAAAACGCATAGTATTTCTATTTGTAGTATTTACCTACGTGTGATTGAATGGCGCTACTACTGGTTCTCACTTTTCTCTGTAAACGATATGAATATCGACATTGATGAAAAAAAAATTTTTTTTTATTAAATTAACGTTATATATAGCTCCTGTTATTGATAAATAATTCAAAATTTTCTGTTCCAAAACGCTTTCAAAATCACCGTGTATATATTATTAAGTATTTACAAAAAAAAATTTAATAATGTTTATGTTATCATGTTAAGTGCAGCAAACATATATATGTGTAATTATTTTTATAATCATACTACCTCTCTTACTGGCTATGGATGCAGCAATAGCGAGGTCTTCTTGTCGTTCTCGGCGTCGTTCTGCATCAATTTGTTGGACGAGCTCATCTCGCATTCGGACAATTTCTACGAGACGCATTACCAGTTTTTCTTCACGAGCCTATAACAAAATGTTTTAAAAACTACTTTAAAAATATCTTTAATTAAATGGGTTGTTAAATGATTAGGAAATTGAGCAAGTTTCAAGTCAGCACGAGGCCCACCAAATAAGACCACGAGTATAACAAGTTCGTGATGAGACTTCTTCTTCATAACATACTGGTTCTTGTCTTCTAGATAACAACAAGTTGTTAGAGTTTTAAAGGTTATTCCTTTAGCAACCTTTCAGCAATAGATTTGAGGTCAGAAATAGGGTGCGACTTGTCTCCACTTTGTTAGAACCTCGGCTAAGGGTTGCCACACAAGTTTAACTAAATTCATGATAATAATTTATAATATCTATAAATTAAAAGCAGGTAATGGTCAAGGCTTGGAAATCAAATTTAGGGACTTTCCTATATTTTAGAGGATGATACTGTTATATGTAAGGTATTTGAGATAATGTCAAAATGATTTATGATTAGAGATATGAATGATAAGAGACCAGTAAACAATATCACAGTATTTGCGTTTGGTTAAATAAAAATTGTTTTAAAATATTACTATCTGAGAATAACCTTGTCAGCATCGATGCGGTTGACAGCAGGTCGCGATTGTATGATACGTATTTCATGTTCAATGTCAGCTTGTTCCTGTTCCAGCCTCTGTTGTCGGCGTCTGAAAACCACCCAAATTGCAAATATGACGTTTCCTTTATTAGGTAAAAGAACATATTCCATTCTATTGGAATTGGTAACAATGTAATTAAATACTACAGGTTCTTTTTGCAAAAGTGGCGAAAAAAGACCTCAATAACAAATAAAACTATTACTTACATATACATCAACTCGGTTTGTTTCCTGAACAGATCATTTTTCTCATTGACTAGTTCACAAAGTTGAATGACTAAATCTTCGACTTCTGCCTGCGGTACAGTATCTGCTTCATCGCCTGTAATATTTATAAGTTATAATAGGGCGGTTGCAATTGATTTATAAAATGAATTATTATTGAATAAAATCAATTTAAATATAATTAAAATAGAAAGAAGGTGCCCCATAAAAAGAATATAAAATGTGCCTGATCATTGTTTACCCTCACACTTGTCGCGAATCATTCTTTCGATGAGAACTCCTTGACGTTCGAGACCGAGCTGTTGCGTCTCGAGCATGTCCAGTTGTACTTGCAAGTCTTCAGGAGACATTTGGAGTTTAACTTCTCTTCGCTCGGGGAGTGGCAATCCAGGCGCTGGACCTTTTGTTCGACGACCACCTACAATATATAAAAGTCAAGTGCTAATTGAATTTTGGCATGTGAAAATGGGTAGACTTTCATTTTCTGATATTCAATGAACAACCCGTGATATAAAGTACATTTACCATCTGAAGTAATGCTTTTAGATCCTAACGAGTTGATTCCTTTTTCTAGTGAATCTCCTCCAATTGAAGTTGTTGACAGGCTGTCGGGAGGAGTAGGAGCAGGTCGTTTCTTTTTTAGTGTAGGAGTCGACTTGCCAATTGACTTCTGGAAAGAATACAACACAAACTATTCTCTAAGAAAATAAAATAAAAGCGTTTACCTGTATTGATTTTTGAAATAAAATATGAATATAGTCGATCGATAATTTGTTAGAAATACAGTACGAGACAACATGCTTACATGATCAGAATTAAGAGTAGAGTTGAACGAACTGAATGATGATATGCTTGCGACGTCATCCATCGAAGTGGAAGGGTGTAGTCTTGACGACTCTATCATTACAGGCGGTGGAGGAGGCGCTTTTGACTTTTTTCGTCGAGTTATGCTTTCCGGTAGATTGGGTGTACTTGTTGCCTTTGAGGACCTATACATTGAGCTAGAAAAATTACAGGGCAGGCTATATTACCGTTCTTAATTTAATATTTTTTTACAATTTTATCGGTAATTATCAATTTACCTCTTATTTTGTACGTCTTCTTCATCAGACGAGGGTTCCTCTCCGTCAGACCAGAAAGGATTTACAGCGATGAGACGTTTCCTTAAAAACAGAAGAACTTAATGTTGATATCACTGCTAATACAACTAGAAGTTCATTATGCATGTTTGAATTTTATATTAGACAATAAAAGAAAAAAGAAATAGGGATCCTAATGCCTAAATAGTGTCAAAAAATACTTGTTTCTATTGCGTATTCTTTTGAAAAAAAAAACCTGTTAATTAGGCAGCCACATACGAGGGTGCGTTTTTAAGTTCGCGGAATGAGAGGGTTGGAAGGGGGTGATTAGGCTCATTAGAATCGTCACGTGTTCAGTGACTCATAATTAGTATAAATACCAGGTTTCATTGTTATTAGACAATTAGTCTTTGAGTTATCGTCAACCAAGCAACATAATCGGGAGTGAAAAGTGAAACATGGAAAAAATCAAATATCGTGCCGTTATAAAGTTCCTTACCAAGCAAGGAAAATCAGTTGCGACCATAATGAATGAGATGTCATTAGTTTACGGCGACTCTTGTCCAGGAAAAACCATGGTGTACAAATGGCACAGTTTATTTAATCAAGGAAGGGAATCCCTTGAAGACGACCCGAGGCCGGGCAGGAGCATCGAGGTGATGACGCCAGAACTTATCCAAAGAGTCGAAAAAATTGTACTCGACGACTAAAGAAAAAACAACTCGCAGAAATGGTTGGAGTATCTGATACAACCATTTTTAGAATTCTGCACGATCATTTTGGCATGACAAAGGTCAGTGTAAGATGGGTGCCGAGAATGCTCACGCCGACGCAAAAACAACAGCTCGTAGAGTGTTCACGTGCATTTTTAGACCTTTGTAATGAAGACAAGGATGCTGTATTGAGTAGAATTAAATTAGAAAATTAGAATTCAATTAAAAACACAGCACCTCCCAAGAAGTTTAAGGTGTCACAGTCAGCTGGGAAACTCATGGCAACGGTCTTTTGGGACTCAGAAGGAATATTATTGATCGATTATAAAGATAAAGGTGTTTCTATAACCGGAGAATACTACGCTTCAATATTAGAGCGACTCAAAGAAGCCATTAAAGAGAAAAGACGGGGAAAATTGACAAAAGGTGTGTTGCTTTTGCACGACAACGCGGCCGTCCACAAGAGCCGCGTTGCGTTGGCTGCCCTGCATAAGGTGGTTCGATATTTTGAATCACCCACCCTACAGCCTTGACCTGGCCCCCAGCGATTATTACCTGTTTCCAAAAATGAAAAAAGAGCTGCGGGGTAAAAAATTTACCAACGATGATGAAGTCAAGGAGGCAGTTTCGGCGTATTTTGAAGACAAAGAGAAAAAAATTTTTAATGAGGGTATTAACAAATTAATTGAAAGATCTGAAAAATGTAGCTCTGTAAATTTAATGTTTCTAGTTCTAGCTCTTGTGGACGGCCGCGTTGTCGTGCAAAAGCAACACACCTTTTGTCAATTTTCCCCGTCTTTTCTCTTTAAACTTGTCGTCTTGCAGGTGAATTTATTGAAAAGGAAAAATAATTAGGTTTTTTTATTTCCACCCCTTATCCCCCATTCCGCGAACATAAAACCCTCCCTCGTACTGTATGAGTAACTATGCTTAAATACACCTATTGCAGAATCCTTGTTTCTTTAAAGTTAACTTTTTTGGTGTTTCTGTCCCTAGGTACACCTAGTAGTTTCAGTGGGCCAGCTCATGAAACAATAAACTTTTAAAACTCTGGAAGTTGTTTGTTTACTTACGTTTAGCACTAAATTAGAATCCATAATTCTTTAGAATGAACTATTTTATATTAGTATTTTAATCGTACGAAGTAGTGGGTAAAAATTAGTCCTACAGATTTAACTAGTGTATAATATCCTCTACTTAAATATACATATATAAATTTCATACAGTCTGTAAAACATATTATGTTCTACAGACTGTATGATTTTATTTTTGTTTTGAGTGGTCTTTTTAAAGAAATATGTTATTATTATTCGAGACAATATAAAATAATAATATGAATAGTGTAGATATCTGTAGTTATCCTATCCAGATCTCCATTAAAATAATGGAGATCTGGATAGGATCTGGATTTCCATTTTCCTTTACCTTACCACAGGAATACCAAGTAAGAACGTCTTAGAATTTGGTAGTGCCTTCTTGATAGGAAATAGCAAGTCTAGTATACATATACCAATGTTAATAATTGATATGTTACTATTAAATAAGTCGAAAGTCTTAAAGGAGAACTATCAAGAAAGTTGTCAGATAAGAAAGTCAGAGTCGGAGAGCAAAGGATAAAAAGACGCATTGAAATATCACGAAAATTCGAGAAAGAAAGAGCGAATTCCTTTAACCGAAAATTTCCAGTTCCAGTAACAGTTCTAATAATAATGTAATAAGGAGTTTTATCACAATACGCATAACATAGAAAATTAATAGATTGTATCTGAATTTCTTAGAAATCTAGTCGTCTGGCGAGTATTATAAATACGGGCACGTCTTTGTCGGAGACTGTTCAGTTCGAGCTACTTTGCGATAAACATCGAAGCGATCTAAGCGAATAGTAGACTATTACTCAGTATTGTCTGAATGTCTTTAAGTGTACTAATAAAGTCTCTTTAGTCGTCAGAAGGTTTATTATTCCAAATCAACGAACCCTAACACGTAACAAAACATTATTTTAATGTACTGGAAGATTCAGTATTTCATTTGATATAGAAACAAGATGTTAGAATATGAAAATTATGGCCGTCTAAAAAGAAAAAAAGAGAGAAAAATTATAATTCGAGTGTAGATTTGAGCTACGCAAGTTCTAAATATAAATCAGGTAAAGTACGTAACAAAGAGACTCGTGTATTTATTGTCCTTTTGTTACATTGCATAACAATACGTGCGCTCATGTGGTCATAATTCAGTAATGTGAAGGTTGTTTAATTCACGTCACGGTACATTTAACATATTTTTATAAATAAATAAATACTGAATTATCTAACATGAACGTGTCATAAGTAACTTAGAGTTATGATTATTTTTGAGTTCCTTGTCGACCAGAATAGATAGAGTTGTTAGAGTCGTTTATAAAATACACGAAATAATATCATACACATGTAGGTAAACAAGAATTGCTTTGTTTAACGTTATTAGATATATTACTTACACAGGTGTTACTGCTATAGTCGGCAGCTTTGTAGCGGATTGTATTGGCGGTACCTCATCATCTTCCTCATCGCTGCTGCCAAATGGATTTGTGCTCATTTTCTTGGGAGATGCCTGTGCCTCAACACTCTAATGAGATAAAATATTAAGATATTATAAAACTACTTCCCTTTATGGAAATTGCTGAAAATATATTACGGGCTTATTAATAATACTCACCCCATCTTCGTCGTCTGAAAACGGGTTTAAATGATCTGGATAGTCAACTTGAGTGCTTATGTTGGACTCTTTTTCTTTTGCAATGGCTGATGCTAATGCTTTATCTATGGCATTCTGTTTTTTTCTTCTGGGAGGAACGCATATAGTTGCTTCCTGTTCATTTGGTTCTGTTATTTGTGGTTCTAATAAAGGAGGAAGCTCAATGTTTTCAGAGACGCTATTCGCTATTCTGTTGTCATCTGTTACATTACTAATTTCGGTTTTGTCACTTTTACTCGTGCAATTATGTTCTTCTACATTACTAATATTATTATCAATAGTATTTACACAGTCTTTAATTTTTGTTTCTTTATTTTCTAAAGAATTTACTTCTTGCTTAGTATCTTCACATAATTGCGTTTGTAAGAAATTGTATTTGTTTATATTACTTTTATAGACTTTCTCAGGAGCATCCGTTTTCATATTTACACCTATAAGTATCTCTTTCGAGTCTGTTTCAGTCTTAGATAGGCTTGTGCTGCTAAGTTCTTCGTGATTATTGAAAGAATTGTCTTTTAATGTGAGATTGGAAATTTTGTGTGCGTTAATGCTATCTTTTTCTATATTTTTTTCAAACATATTTATTTTGTCTATGGAGTAAAAATGATTTATGTTAGTAGGCTGTTTTAATAAAAAACAATTGTTATTTGTAATAGTAGTAGTAACACATAAGCTGCAACTTTTTAAAAATTAACGGAGGTAACACACATAAAACAATAAGCTTTCCTGATTCATGTTTTTCATCTAAATGTAATTCTTATTGAAATTTTAGACTAATATTACTTGTTTGTATGTCTAATTGTGCAATAAGATACTACATTCAAATTGAGAATGAAGCAAACAGAAACTTGTAGATAGAACATGATGCAAAGTACTGAATTTGAAATGTTTAGTTTTATTTTACGTGAGAGGGGCAGATGAGCAGACGGGTCACCTGATTTAAAATGACTATCGCCACCCATGAACGTCTGCAACTCAGAAGTCACAAACTTTAGGAAGGAGTACGCTCTTTTCTTGAATTTTGTAGGACGTATCGGTCCGGAAATACCGCAGACGATAACTCGTTCAACAGATTGGTTGTGCGGGGCAAAGTGTCTCGAAAAGCGCACAGTAGTGGACCTCCAAGTATCCAGGCGATGGGGATGAAAATTTTGCCGTGTGGAACGATAGCGGAAAGTTGCGGCTGGTATTAGTCCGAACAATTCCTCGGAGCACTCTCCATGATATATGCGATAGAGAATGCAGAGTGAAGCCACATTTCTACGTAACATCTCCGATCGAGCCGATCGGAGATGTTTGAGCTATCGACGATTCGAGTCGCTCTTCGTTGGACGCGGTCCAGAGGTAAACATTGCATAATTGATAAAGATATGACATGTACTATGTGTATATACACATTACATTTCATAAAGTATGATTGATTTTATTTATGCTAAGTAATTCTTGACTTACAGATTATAAGTAAAACAACACACTCACCTAATATTGATTTCGGTCTTGGTTTATGTTTAGGGCTAGCTGACTCCTTATTTGTCACTGACTGTGTTTCACGCACGTTATCGGTAAACGCCAGCATCCCCATTTGATCATGATCATTATTGTTAAGATATTTTGACAAAGTCTTTTCGTTTTTACAACTATCACAGGTGAATTCAGATCCATCAACTACATCAAAATTCTTAGGGCTTATATGTCCAGAACATTTAGAACAACGGAAACACCTTCTGTGATAAAGTTTATGTGATACTAGGAGGCGTTGAGCAAGGTACACCGGTAGGCCACATGCTGCACATTTGTCCAGACCAGTTTTACCAAATCTTATAGGTGCCTACAAAGTAGTTATAGAGTGTCAGATAGAAAGCATAGAAAAAGAGAGAACAGTCAGTTAAATGCAAACATAACACAAAGAATATTTGTATAGTAAAAATAAACATTGCAATATAGTTGTACTAACGGGTGATTCAGTTGTTGATGCCGGGGCTAACAGTTTAGATTCAGTTTCTGATACTTTGGTATTAACTGTAAATAAAAAATAAACTGTGTTAATAATAATAATACTTTGTCACTTTTCATACATGGTCATCTGATCTCGAGGCAGGGTAAGGATCTCTAGGTAGTCCGTATTATGTGAACTGTTATAATAATTTGGTTATTGCAAAAATAATTATTAGTGATAATCATAAAAGATTTAAATAAAGTATTTCAGTAAATGTTTTATACTTCAAGCACAAATGTTACCTTATGCTTATAATTTTTTTTAAGTTTGTGTGGTTTTATACATAACTAGCTGCACTAGCTGTACCATGCTTTGCTATGGGACCTTGTTGTTGCATTCATGAGAAATGAAGAACAAAACTAATTCAAAAAATAAACAATCTCTGAATATCATGTCAAAACTTGAGCACAACTAGTGCAGAACGCTGAGTTTTTTTAAGCATACACAAACCAATTAAACTACTTATTATTTTTTATGAAAATAATACATTATATTGTATGTGATATCTATCTAACAAAATGCATATGAAATAACCTATAAAAAAGTTGTATGCAAACAGTAACTGTAATATAGAGGTCCTAAATATTTAATAGCTGGCAAATCCTATATGATGTACATATATATTTGAAATACAATAATGTTATCTAAGTTTCAAATAAATCAATATTGTGTATAGACAGTTACAAAGTCATACACCTTAACACTGATATCTGATTATCATTACGATTCACTTAACTAAGGAAAGTTGGACATTGTGTAATAGATTATAATCTACTGACGCATGTTATAAGGGAAAACAAATAAAACTTATTGTAACATAATTACTACCTCCAAAGCCAATTAAAATTAAATAGAACTTCCTTTCTCCTCAACATCAAAATTTAATGATTAAAAGCTTGAATTATCTATATTTTAACCTATTAAGAAGGAATGCACTTTATAACAACACATCTGTTTTTTTTCACAGTAGAATGTATTTCAGATTTTTTATAAGTAAATTAACTATTACTTAAAGTTATATTTAATTTGCATTAAAATAATTATGCTAGAACAATAATGTATGACACTTTCCTTGGAATTTCTGTCACATAATGGTTCTTTATCTTTAAAAAATGGAAAAAATTTAATGTGAGTTATGCTTATTATAATAAATCTGCATAGCAATTTTTAACACTAAACAATTATACTTTTTACAAAAATACAATTTATTTTTAATCTAACTAATATCTGTTTTCCTTTCTGTTTTATTAAAACAGATAAAAGTAGTTTTATTACCTTAATAAAGCTTAATTAGTCACTTTTCACTTTTTATCACTTACTTTTTGCTTAAAAGTTGTACATAGTTTAAGAAATTCAAAATACTGTTAAAACCACCTTTAAATTGAAAATCCTTATTTTGTATTGAATACTAGCTGGTACCCGCGACTTTGTTCGCGTGGAATTTGAAAAGCACTGCCTTAGTTGGTTGTATGCCAGGACCAGGCTAAATTTTAAAGGGTTTTTCTGGGAGGAAAAATAGCCTACGTTATACTTTATGTAAACAGCTACCTGGTAGTAAAATATTATGGAAATCAGTTGAGCCGTTTAGAAGATTACCCGGAACAAACAGAAAGACAGACAAAAATATATTTTTATTTTACTGGTTTTTAGACATAGGTATCGTGCAAACAACCGAGTGAGCATGAAAAAAACCTACAATTTTGACATAAAAAAGACACTTCAATTTTATTTATTTATTTAGATGTAAAGACAAGAATGCAGTAGTTCAAAAGTTACAGAATTTCCGTATGATTAGCAATAAATGTTATTAGTATAAAAAGATTGAAAAATATCATGCCTTATTGATGGGTAATAAGTACTGATATTATATTAATAATTACAACATACCTTTGTGTCCTAATCGTTGATAAAATTGTGACAAGTATGTTAATATTGACAAACGGTCCGGCACATCATTCTCTACCATATCCTCAGGATCTAGTAATGACGGTATGCCAAGGTGTTTTTCAGCAACACTGTATGCTAATTGGTTATTTTCATAAATATTTTCTGCATTCAATTTGGACATATCACTGAAAAAGTGTTATAAAACATATTTTATTGTATATTTTTCCTTAACAGTTCTTAAGGCATTTCTAAAAGTGAAATAGCAAGTTTAGATAGCCTTTCTTAAGTAATAAATTAAATAATAAGCAAGGAAACACTTACATCAAATCTGGCCTGAAATGATGTACTAATGCACAAAATGCCATTCCATTTCTCCATGATGTTGTCATATTATCTATTTGCACTTCAGGACAGTCTTTAACTAAACGCTTACACCATAATTCCAGAGCTTTAGTACCTTTACGTTCAGACATTTTATAAAGTTTTTAGAACATCTAACAAAAACAATTCCTTATTTATGAGTTATTATGATTTATTTTCATCTTTATTGAAAACAGGACCGTACCGTACCTTTCCTGACATATACCGCAATATAATTTTTAAATATAAATCACTCATCGAACTGTATTCAATCAAATAAGAATTTCTTTAAAATATTCATTAGGTACAAGTTAGTGGTTAGTTGGCAATTTGGCATTCACTAGGGATGTCCAAATGTTGTATGTAAAAACAGTAGCGTTGTAGCCATCACTGATTACCTACTATGTTTTTAGATGCCAACTATAGGATTCGATACAACTTACTATCGATCCTTAGTTAACCACACACAGCTTGTCACGTCACTCATATTAAATAGGTACATGATTATTAGTCTTGAGTAGTACACGTACGATGTACTGATAGGTACTAGTACTGGGTATTGAACTAAAAGTGATGTTTCCGAAATTCAGCTGTTAATCGGACATTTTGCACTATTAGTACACAGTGTCAACTTTAAGCCAGTACTAAAACTACCTATGATTTACTCTGTCTACTAGTGTCTACGTTAGGGATGTTAAAAAATAATCGATTTTTATTGAAATCGATTATTATTTTCTTATAATCGATTTTTTATTCTCGATTTTTATAGTAATGTTAATCGATTTTTAGTAAATCGATTATATAAATTACGTGTTTAAATCGATTTTCAGAAACAGCTCGCATCTATGCGACGAATGAAAAAATCTTGCAGTATGTTTCAATTTTAAAAACAGCGCCATCTATGCGTTGGATCAAAAATCTCTGCTCCGTCCGAAAGATTATTTTCCAAAGCGGGAAATGTGGTCAGGAAAACACGAAACCGTATTTTAGGACTATCAAAATTATTGTTTTTAAACTGCTTACTTACCTGAAAATTTATGGTAATAATTATTTTAAATTTTATTATTGTTTAATCCTAGTCAAATGTAAAATAGGACTGCACATTTGTGGAAATAATTATTTTTAATTTTATTATTGTTTAAACTTGCAGATTAACGAAAGATTGTTTTTTATTTTAGTTTTAGAGACCATAACGTAGTTTTTCAGGATTGATAATGATCCTTTTAAGTATTTTATTTTAATACTAGTCAAATGTAAAATAGGACTGCATGGACATTTGTGACAATAATTATTATTTAAACTTAAAGATTAACGAATGATTTGTAATTTACTTTAGTTTTTGAGACTATAGAGTAACCAAAGCCAAAACCTCCTTTCTAAGGAGAGGCCTACGTCCAGCAGTGGACTATCAAAGACTGTTGATGAAGAGTAGTCGTTTAGTTTTTTAATTCTCATTTTAAGTGTTTTATTTTAAAACTAGTCAAATAAAAAATTCTCATCATTTCATTTTTATTAAAATAAATAAAACGTTTCATAGTACTAAAATGAGTATTAATAATGCTATTTAGTTTCCTAATTCCCTACTTTGAAATTTTTCGAATAGGTTATTTTTTTATTCATATAATTTTATTTTATTTTTAATCTGATAAATAGTTAAAATGAATCTCTTAGGTTTATTATTGGAATATGGAAAGCATATACTTTTAAATAATACAAAAAAATCGATTATTTATTTTTATTAAAATCGATTTTTGGCAATTCGATTAAATTTTAATATAGAAAAATCGATTTTTATTTAATCGATTCTTTTCCATTAATCTCACATCCCTAGTCTACGTTCGTTCGCTGTGCGACGTACTATTAATGGTCCGCTTTATTGTTCCGTATTGGTAAACAGTGTGAGAGTAAAAGGGACAGCGATACAGGATGTACTACCATACGTTGGGTTGTAAAGAATGAAGGAAAATTAAATAGTATGCTTAAAAATTTAGTGTAAAGTAATCTAAAAAATCGTATTTAAAAGTCAAACTGTTAGGGTTTATGGGATTCAGAAAGGGATAAAACATTAAAAATAATCAAGAACCGTGTAATTATTTCTATACTGAAGAAAAGTAACTGATTAATACAAAGCCTATAACTTATAAAAAAAACTATAACTTTTGTTTTTTAATTACGTATTTAATTATTAGTATTCCGTTTCATTAATACAAACTGTAATACAAACAAAAATGTTGGTAATATCAATACAAACGCTTAAGTTTTCTACTTCTAATAAAACTGTACTAATAGTACTATTACCGTGCGCTAGTACGTTGTACGAATTGTACTAGTACGGTGCGAACCTGCAGATGTCCGATTAAGCACAAGACTAATGATTATTGCTAGTATTATTTTTCGACCTATTATTATATGACATTTATGAAAATGAAGTAAAAGAATATACTTTTTCACAGAGCTTGGAGACATTTGTTTTTGTTGAGTAATGTAGAGGGATTCCTATTTGATATTTAATAAAACCATTTTCTTCAGTCTTCTTTTATTTTAACTTTTTAAATATCTTTTCTTAGTACAAATATCCCTATATATCATCTGTACCTTTTTTTTTTTTTATATTTTTTTAAACCATAGGCTACGAACTTTGGAATGAAACATTGCTTTCACTTAACATTCTCCCTCTAAATAAACAACCCATCTAAATAAATTTAAGTCACTGCAAAGTTATCAACATTATACTTATGATTATTTTATATTACCTTAGTTAAACTGATGACATACATTTCACAAAATAATTCTGTTGAAATTTTGACAAAGGTTTTGTTAATATGTCTGCAATTTGATCCTTGGTTGAAATATATTTTACTTTAATTACACCATCTTCAACTTTTTCTTTAATAAAATTATTTTCTACATTTATGTGTTTTAATCTTTTTTGATCTGGATTTTTAACAGTTTTAATGCAACTTTGATTATCCTCAAAAATTACAACATTTTCAATTTTAATATTTAAATCATTTAACAACTAATAAGCCAGCAAGCGTGCGGTAAACGCGTATGGCTCTAACCGCCAATATCCTCTAAGGGCGCCAGAGGTGTGTCCTATTCTGGGGGGTCAGAGCCACCGCCCACACCGGTGCACCTTACAGTGCCATTGATCGGACAACCTCCGTGTACAGCCGTCTTGTGGTGACGCTGGCTCCGCCTAAATTGGGCAAAAGTCGCTCTAGGGCAGAAGCAGCGCCGACCAGCTTTGGAGCAAGCTGTAGGAAGTGCTCGTCGAAGAGACACCTCCCGTCAAGAATCGGGGGGCGGACTACGGCGGGGCCCATTTAACAATAGGGTCTCCGTCTCATCCAGGGCCACCCGTAAGCCCAGCGCTTCAATGCGCCCGACCACCAGAGAGATTCCCATGGTGGCTAAGCGAGCAGCCTCTTGAAAGTCCGTCTCCCGGGCTGTAACTAGCGTGTCATCGGAGGAACTAATAACGCGCAATCCGGGGGGGGGGGGGGGGCGACCTCGAAGGGCCCAGTCGTAACTTATGTTCGCGGATATGTAGATATATATATATATTTTGTATCATAATATTGCCGCAGGAGCCGGTGGCGGCGTCGCCATTATCCTGCGGAACAATACCGACTACATCGACAGTAGTGATATATTTAATATGTCAATTAAATATGTTCTAGAACTGTGTGCTATAGATGTACCTGTGGAGAATGTTTTGCTTAATATGTATTGGAGTAAAAGAGAAGGGTAAACATTTTGGAACAAACACTAAATTATATAAATAGTAAATATTTTAAATGTAATATAATTATCGGAGGAGATTTTAATATAAATATTTTAGAAGATAACTTAAAACATACAAATATATAAATTTAATGTTAGAACTCAAATTTACGCAACATATAAAAAACCAAACCGCATAACATTTTTTTGACTCGTCTTGGCAGCATTTTACATCAAAATGATTTGGTGGGTTTTTACTTCTGTTTGTAAGCCGCCTATGACATTATTTACAACCAGGAATCCTACTTATATCAATTTTCAGACCTCAAAAGTTTGCGGAAGTCTCATACAAACTTCCATCTTTCGAGGAGTTTAAGGGGTGGGGGGGGAGGGGGTATTGGGTTCTTTAAAAGTACTAAGTCCTAGATTTTTATTGCTGTTTGTGTAATAATACTATCTTGCAAAACAAATTTCAGCTTTTTAGAACTTCAGGAAGGACCATCATTAAGTCAGTGTCGAAAACGGGTTTTTATGATATCAATAAAATCTAAAGTATAAGAGCTACGTATGCATTTGAAACATATTTTTAATGAGTCCACTATTGACAAAAAGTAGGTAGTGTCCTGCGTTTCGTTTGGCTTGTCTCGGCGATTTATCTTCTAAAACTACAGGGATTATGACAATAGGTAAGAAATAAAATATAAAATAAACACATTTACTTTATTTAATCAGTAATAAAATAGCATAACATCATAGACTGTCGTTAACTCATCGCCAAATACGACGACAATTGCCAAGAGCATCGGCTCTGTATCCAATAGGGCACTGGTGAGGTACGTTAATGACATGTCTGTTCTCGAAATCATTATTTGTTAGCAGAGGATCTTTATTGTGAAACTGTGAATCGTCAATTTGAATCTGATTTTCTTTTCTTGATAAAAAAGTTCTCCAGTTTGCAAAAATAGTATCCATTATTTTTGAAGATCTACAAAAATCATAGTACATATTAGATTGCCTCGAAACATTTTGCTGGTGTTTGACCAAGTAACAACACGGGGTGTCCCAAAGATCAGACTTATGGTTGATAACGCATCTAAAAGAGGTAAATGATAACTCCGTCGCGTGAGTTGAAGGTTCTAGCAATCAACAAGTAGTCGTAGATAGGATTTCTGACGTCTGTTATATGAATAATAAGCCTCATGCTCATAAGAATTTTGGGCTGATAACCTCACAGCTGCTGTGTAATATATGTAAATGATTTTATAGTAGATACGTAGATAGTTAAATCTACGTTTATTTCAGTATATGGAACAGATCTAAAGATGTATGATCAAATTCTATTTCTTTTTAATAAGTGTCTATAATTAGTGATACCTACTTTATCTTACGGAGACATGATGGATACGGGTACAGACAAAAAGTTACAGTTAGGATAAAAATTTAACTGAAAGTACAATTGTATTAAACTTAAAGCTTTGCTATCTAAGAGTGCTGATAGAGGTTCTTGACTTGATTGTGGATTTAGGCCGGCATTTAATATAAAGTTGTGTTACAAAGTAATTAGGCACGCTTGGACTTCAGTTTTATACAGACCTCCATACGTCGCGACAACTGCCATTCACGAGTTGTTGGCCGGGAGGACAGTTGGAAGGAGCGACAATTATGTTTCTAGAGCCATGAAGAATGCTCCACAAATCATAGCATCGTTGATTTACCAAGACCTGACCGGGTCTACAGTTTGGAGGTGCTAATATCACATTTTTTACCTTTTCAGCGGTTACTCTGAAAAAAGAAAACCGAAATAAATTTTGTTTTTTTTTTAAATCTTAGTACGACAACAAAGGCCACTTCCCCCATTTCCCGGTGACCCCGCTATTCCTGGTCATGGTGGCGACTACAGTAATGTCGGGGTAGGGGGCGCGAAGAATCTTCGCGCTACGGGAGGCCACCACAACCGACTGACCCTGGCTACGTACAACTAGTACGTACGTACGACTAGCATTTGGCGCAACTTGAGGTGCAACTTGGGCAGATTAGGTGGCATATCCTAGGGCTATGTGAAGTCCGAAGAGGGGGGGAGACCATAACCCTCGAATCAGGCCACCTAATGTACTTTCGCAAGGGAGATCAACAATCCCAAGGTGGCATTGGGTTTCTGGTAAATAAGACCCTTTCTGACAACGTTGTGGAAATTTCCAGTGTGTTGAACAGGGTAGCGTACCTCATTATCAAGCTCACCGAGAGGGATATCTTCAAGGTAGTGCACCGACCTCGGCACACTCGGACGACGAGGTGGGGGATATGTTCCATGACAAAAATATATACTTCACAACTAAAACCTACTACAACGTTGTTATAGGTGACTTCAACGCTATAATGGGAGTACAGAATTGAGGCAAATCAGTAATAGGATCATATGGATTTGGAAGCAGGAATCATAGGGGGCAAATGCTGGTCAACTTCCTCGAACGGGAGGAGCTCTTTTAGATGAACTCCTTCTTCAAGAAATAACCCCAAAGGAAATGGACGTGGCAAAGCCCCGACGCTATGACCAGAAATGAGATCGATTTCATCATGACGGATAGGAAGCACATATTCAGAGACGTCTCAGTAATCAATAGGTTTAATACCGGTAGTGACCACCGACTTGTACCAGGCTCTCTGAATATCAACTTTAAGGCTGAACGTGTCTCTTTGATGACATCCAGGCTACGACCAACTCTTTTTTTTTACGTGTGGAAACCCCCTCTTGCCGTCACCCCACCGGGGTTTGCGGCGGGGTGGTGTGTCGGAATCGGACCGACTAAAACCACACGGAGTGCCACTCTGCGCCTGTTTTAGGACAGATCTGGGAACCGCTATTATTAGACAAAACATGAAATGCGATTTTTTGGGCGCGCGGGATCGCGGTAAAATTACAAGATTGCTTCAACAGCAGTCCGATGTCTATAATGACCTCATAGACGAATGGCAGCAACGCTGGGACGAATCATCCAAGGGGCGCCATCTTTACCAATTCTTTCCATCTGTGCGCGAACGGTTGTCGAGGACATGGCTTGAGGTGGATCACTGTGTCGCTCAATTTCTTACGGGTCATGGTAACTTTAAGAGCAAGTTGTATTCATTTAAATTAGTCGAGTCACCATTGTGTCAATGCTCAACACCTAACTCTCACTATGAACAATCTGCTCATCATATCCTCTGGGAATGTAGTCTTTAGTACAATGAACGTAATATAATGCTGAATAGCTTGCAGGTGACATCTTGGGCGGTATACTATGGGGATCTTGTGTCAAATAGGGTGAATTTCTGTGCGTTTCGGCGATTCTGCCATACATATTATAGAAATCAAATATAGCTCACGTAGGACCCGTAATATTTTGTGGCCGTGGTGCTTCCCTGTTTAAAAGGGTGTATGCCTATTTTGCTTCATTTTGTCTCCCGCTTTGCTAAGGAGGAAAGTGGATTTACTGTATTTCCAACTCCTCCAATTATCTTCTGATTAATTTCGTTGCGGGTTCCAAGACAGTTTAATTTCTTCCTGGGACTTCCCGAGTGTCATAACTTGGTGTGTTTGTGGGTCACTACTGTGGATCCTGGTGTACAGGAGTTACAGTGATGGGCGTGTGGGTGGGATTAGGCCCAAAAAAAAAAAACCGCTATTATTAAGACATCCGGACCGCTCCTAGCGCCTGCCCGCAATGGCGCGGGCACCAACTTCGGCTACATTCTTCATTTAGGCCACATCCGGCACACGTGGACGTCACCTCCTAGCGGCTGGCCGTTATGGCAGATGGAGGGGAACACCCGTCCCGTCGGCGAACCGAACACTCACGGCGGCATGAGGCGATGGTAAGCGCGCCTTCGCCGCCCGGTTCCGGGTCCGAGGTCCGAGGAGAGGTTATCCTCCCGGGCCCTCTGCGCTGCCTCGTTCCGCAAGATGACGTCTTCGCAGAAGGATGCGACCGCGGTAAAACATCTGTCACTACCGGCCATCGAGCGTATGACGGTGGGTAGCGAGAGATCCCCTCCGATGACTGTAATGAGGAGTCGGCGGTGCGGCGCCCAAGCCGGGCAAGTTGCCAGCGTGTGCTGAGCCGAATCCTCACTGCAATCACAGTGGTGACAGGCGGGACTCAATTCCCTCCTAGCGACCGAGTGCAGGTACTTCAAGAAGCAGCCGTGCCCGGAAAGGACCTGCGTCAGCCGGAAGGAAAGGGTCCCGGAAGGAAGGAGAGCGCCTCCCCAGTGGCAAAGCCAGCACGTGGGGCCTCCAGCCGGGACGACCAACGAGCCATCGTGGCTCGGCGAGCCGAAAGCCGCTATCCGCCCGGAACTCAGCCGTCCGCCGATATACTTCGGCAAGCACTTCCGCCTCCAAATCCCACGGGGGAGTTCCGGCCAACGCGTACGCCGCCTCCGTCGATACGGTACGGTAACCGCGTATGGCTCTAACCGCCAATATCCTCTGAGGGCGCCAGAGGCGTGCTCTATTCTGGGCGGTCAGAGCCGCCGCCCACACCGGTGCACCGTACAGTGCCATGAACTGGACGAGCCCCGTGTACAGCCGTCTTGTCGCGACGCTGGCGCCTCCCTAATTGGGCAAAAGTCGCCTTAGGGCAGAAGCAGCGCCGACCAGCTTTGGAGCAAGCTGTCGGAAGTGCTCGTCGAAAAGCCACCTCCCGTCAAGAATCAGGCCCAGATACTTCATCTGGGTCTGAATCGACCACGATGGAGGCGCCGGCACTCCATGATAGTGGAATGCTTCTCTGATGCAGCTGAATGGCAGACTGTTGAATGCGTTGGCGATGTCCAACGACACCACCAACAGCACGCCGCAATGGCTCACTGCCTCTTCGGTCACGGTCCTGAGGCTCAACACAGCGTCGACCGTCGAATGTCCCGCTCGAAAACCGAATTGGGCGTCCGACAGATCGCGGCCCACCTCGCAGAGGTGCCGGACGATGCGGGCTGAGAGAATTCTCTCAAACAATTTACCCGCCTCGTCAACGATGGGCCTGTAGGCCACGACCGAATCGGCACGCCGTCCCGGCTTCTTCAATAGGACCAGCTTTCTGCTCTTCCAGCACTCAGGAAAACGTCCGGACGCCAAGCTAGCGTCGAACACCTCTCTGAGGCGGTCTGCCATATGGTGAAGGGCTAAGGCTAGCATTCGGGCCGGTATCCCGTCCGGCCCAGAGGCGGTCTTCATGGAACGGATCCGTAGAACAGCCGCCCCCACCTCCGAAAGGCTACGACCAACTCTGCTCCAAGCCATGACAGGATCTGAAATGTTCCAGTTAAAACTGGAAAATCGATTCGCTGTCATGGAAACCACAACCGATATAAACCAGAACCTCGAAAATGTGGTTCGGATCCTTAGGGAAGAAGGTAGGAGATTTTGTGAAATGCAGCGTAAGGGCAAGAAGTCGAAGCTTTCAGAAGAGAACCTAAGGCTTATGAAGAAACGACATGAAAACCCACCTGTCACTTTGTCGGCAAAGCGGACTCTTAACCAAAAGATCAGTAAGCTCGTACGACACGACCTCCGGTGCTCCAATACTCTTTCTTCTTTCAATTGAAAGAACGATCGAGCAGAATCGGGGGTCAAAAGTGTTCGTACTATCTCTTGGAAGAAGTTACCTGATGAAGCTGACCACAGCAAGTAGAGAAGTCGTTGCTTCGAAGCCGTTGGCCGGTTATACTCTTCGCATGCATCTCGACCTGATCCCGAAAATGAGGACTCCAGAGCCACGTTAACACTTCTCTATGTAGTAAACATAGAAGACCTACCAGAAGTTGGCTTGGTTGGTTGGAAATGGAGATGGTTCTTGGACAGCTGAACAGTGGAAAAGCCCCTGGAAAGAATGGCGTTACAACAAAGCTGCTTAAGGCTAGAAGTAAACCGATATCGGACATCGTCATCGTAGCAGAGACGCTGCAGGACCTGCAGCAGATGCTGAATGACCTAGCTGACTCTTCTTTACGCATCGGCCTACGGATGAACTTGGATAAAACCAAGGTCATGTTCAATGAACATGTACTACGGGAACCGATTGCGGTACACGGTGCTGTTTTCAAAGTTGTTCAAAATTATGTGTACCTCGGGAAGATATTGCAGTTAGGTAGAAACAACTTCGAGGACGAGGTGAACAGGAGAATTCAGTTGGGTTGGGCAGCATTTGGAAAGCTACGTCGAGTCTTCTCGTTGTCGACCCTACAGTGCCTTAAGATGAAAGTCTTCAATAAGTGCGTTTACCCGTCATGATATACGGAGTCGAAACGTCGACACTTACGGTACGGCTGGTCCACAAGTTCAAAGTCGCTCAACGTGCTATGAAAAGGGCTATGCTCGGCGTTTCTCTAACGGATCGAATCAGGAATAAGGTGATCCGGTAGAGAACCAAGGTCACCGACACACCTACCTGATTAGCAAGCTAAAGTGGCAGCGGGCTGGCCATATTAGCCGCAGAACCGACAACCGTTGGGGAAAACGAGTTCTTAAGTGGAGACCCCGTCTCCGCAAACGTAGTATGGAACGCCCACAGGCCATGTGGAGTGACGATTTGCGCAAGATGGCTGGCAGGAGCTGGATGCGAGAAGCCCAAAATCGATCTAAGTGGCGTGCAAAGGGAGAGGCCTATGTTGAGTTCAGACTGCGATAGGCTGATGATGATGATGATTTGTAGGTTCTATTGTGAATTAAAAAACTTCAGAGACCTACACAAAAAAGGCCACATCAGAATTTAAAAGTTAATTAAATAATTTTGTACTGATGATGATGACTTGATAACCTTACAGCTGCTGTGCAATATATGTATATAACTATTTTCTCAAAGTTTCTAGCTTATTATTAGTTAAACCTATGTTTGTTTAGGTATATGAAACATATCCGAAGATGATTATATACATCTGACATACGTGAATTAAAAATATAGTACACACTCATTAAATTTTACAGCCTTGGCAAAGGGCAAAAAGGAACCTAGGTATTACTTTTTAATATCTGTATAAAAATTTAATACTATGTCTTATGGATACTGACATTTCCAAAATGTGTCAGGTTCACAAAATCATTAATTTGAAAGTTGAATCAACTTCAACTTTTCTTCCTTTTTACATGAACGAGGCTCCTTTTACCCCGACTTTTGTTGTTGATCTGTATCTGGTCTATTGGTCATCAAGCGCCATTATGACATTGTAGTAACTTTCTACATACATCAATCTATATAGATGTAAGTACATCTATCTGTCTATTTATGTAACGTAATATTGCAATGAGTTTGCACCATCTTCAACACGCGCGATTAACTTGAAGATTTGCACACTTATTCCGAACCGATGACACTACAGGACTTAAAAAATAATAATATATATTATCATAAAAATAAGTTTAATAGCTAATTTTAGGCTACACTTTTCATAATAACCATCCATCCGTGCTTGTCATGTCATTATTTCTTGTTTTAAACTCATGTGTATTTTAAAGGTTTTATGACCCAGATAATCTTGTGCATAACTAACGCATCGTACCATCGTCGTATTTAAAAAAAATACTTTGTTCATTTTAGTTTGGTGTACCATTAATTTTTATTAGTTCTTTTAAAAAAAAAAAAAAAAAACATACTTTAGAACAACATTATGATGATGATGTTTGATAATAGGTACATATGTAAATGGCAGGATAATAAACGCAACGCACCGTATTCTGATTGAATTTAGGTTTTTACATAAACTTTATTTTTATCAGTAAAAATGCATAACATTGAACTCTATCATTAACTCATTACAAATAAGGACGACATTTGCCAAGAGCATCGGGTCTGTATCCAGCAGGGCACTGGTTAGGTACGTTGATGACATTTTTGTCTTTAACAAAGTCATTATTTGGTAGAAAAGGATCCTTATTTTCAAACTGCGAAGCCTCATTTTCAACCTGTCGTTCACGTCCTGACAACATGTTTCTCCATTGTTCAAAGAAAGTGTCCATTACATTTGCAGACCTACAAAAGTTATTGCACATATTAGAATGCCTCTAAAAAAATATTTTCGTTCTTCTAGATATTGCTTTTAACACAAGAAGTATCTTTGATAAACTTAAAAGTCTATAAGAGTATAATCTAGCAAAGATAAATCCCTAAAATACAAACAGGCTAATCGTTTCTAAAAATCAAAACATCTAAAATGCAACTCGTCGAAAATTTATTCTACTACCGTACCGTACTCCGTTTGTGCTAATCAAATACTTTCCCGGTTCCTTATTACTGCAGTGCTACGCAAAATTATTTAGGTTTTTATTTATTGGATTAGAATTTAATTCGGTAGAAAAGAATTCATATTTTGGAATTAAAATTTTTACCTCATTTGTTATCAGTAAACTCTCTTACTTTCTACTTCGTAAAATAGATTACAGGGTACACTCAGAAAGTTAAGAGAAACTAATAACACAACTTATATGGATAAAATATCTTTATTCTAAATAAATCAAAATAAAAATTCTAATAAAACTTTGAAAATTTAAATCCACCAGCCTCTATACATCGTTCTACGCGTCTAAACCGTTTTCAAAAAATAATAATTCAATTTCTTTTTCGAGTATGTACGGCGAACTCGAAGAAGTGTAGAAGGCCGTAGCCTTCTCAAACGCTGCCAGCGCGAAAATTTTCACTGCTAGCACGTTTTCCTCGGTAACAGCTGTCAAAGGACGACTCTTTTTTTTCTTCATCCCCCAGAGATAGACGACCGTTCGTTATCACAACAGATAATTGCTTTAAAAGGGTCTTGATCCATAAATGCAATTTGAAATCATAAAAATCATCGTACGAAAATATTCCTGACGCAGATGCATTTTTTAATGAGACACCATAATTCAATTTCGCTTTAAAAAAATGTGGAGGGAAATTTGAAATTCGAACGATTGTATTTTTATTTAGAAATATAATCACATTTTTTAAATAATTATTTATTTATTTAAATCTTTACGCACAAATGTGGCAAAGGCGGACTTAATGCCGTAGGCATTTTCTACCAGTCGACCTTAGGGCGATGCAGAGCCAAACGTGGTAGATGCATAGAAATTAAAAATGTGATTTATTAAAACTATAGCATATATAGAATGTCATATAACCAGAGTACTTATATAAATAATATTGGAATAATTTTAATGATAAATACAATAAGTAATAAACATATGATACTAATACACATCTATACTAATATTATAAAGCTGAAGAGTTTGTTTGTTTGTTTGTTTGTTTGTTTGTTTGAACGCGCTAATCTCAGGAACTACTGGTCCGATTTGAAAAATTCTTTCAGTGTTAGATAGCCCATTTATCGAGGAAGGCTATAGGCTATATATCATCACGCTAAGACCAATAGGAGCGGAGCACCAATGAAGAATGTTTCAAAAACGGAGAAAATTTATTACTATTGAGAGACGCAGACGAAGTTGCGCGGGTCAGCTAGTAATACATAAATATACATACATATACATTTATATACTTAAATACACATAATATAAATTCTAAATGGAGAGAGTATAAAATTAAGATGGATTTGATAGTGTTTAAAATTTTTTGCCGCAACAGGTATTTAAATGTTTGCCGAGTTTTTGCCATCCTGATGTCGAGAGGGGAGCGCGTTCCATAACAGGACAGATTGTACCAAAAAAGTGGAATGTACGAAGTCAGACCGGTGAGTCGGACAGTGAAGAAGTAGGTTGTCTGAAGATCTAAGATTTTTAGCGTGGTTTGCACCTAAATATTGAATTTGAGAAGTGAGGTAGGAAGGAGAATTTGGGGAAAAGAGTAAAGAATATAGGGTAGTTAATGCTCGTGTCTGTCTGCGTTGGCGAATTGGAAGCCATTTCAAATGAGAGCGATGCAAAGTAGCACATATTACCATAGTAGAGAATAGGGAATATAACAGACTGAACAAGCATTACCTTAGTTTTCGATGGAAGAAAGTTTCTAAGTCTATAGAGGGCCCGCAGCGAACCTGGCACAGATGCAACTTGTTGTCGCCAGCTCAGAGTTGTGTCAATATACAATCCGAGGTCTTTCACACTCTCACAGTATGGAATAACCATGCCATCGTAGGTAAGTGGTGGAAGTGAGGCAAGGTCGAGCTGGCTCATAGCTCGGTTACTCCCGATGACAATAGCCTGACATTTATTTGGATTGACCGATACGCCAAACATATCAGACCAGTGTTTAATGGCTGTCAGGTCACTATTTATAACCAAAATCGGGGACGATATATTGCACAACTCTGTCTGGTAATATAGCTGCAAGTCATCAGCGTAGAGATGAAAGGAACACTGTAGTCTTGGGATGATAAGATTAATGAAGATAAAAAACAGAAGAGGTGAAAGAATACCGCCTTGAGGGACGCCAGCAGTGAGATCACACCAGCTAGAGGAAGAATCTTCGACATTACCTGACTGCTGACGATCCCGAAGGTAAGAGGAAAACCAGCCCAGTGCATCTTGAAAGACCGAGAAATGGGATAGGACAGTAAAGAGAAGTTCATGACTGACGGTATTGAAGGCATTCAAAAAATCAACCAGTACTAAGGTAACCTTAGTAACCTTAGTATTCCCCATCGCCACCTTAATATCGCCAGTCACTTTAAGAAGAGCAGATGCCGTGCTATGGCCTGGTCGAAACCCTGACTGAAAGGGACTGAGTAAGTTGTTACTGTAAATGAAGTGGGAGAACTGTTTGTGGACGCAGGCCTCTAGCACCTTGGAGAGGAAGGGAAGGATAGACATTGGACGAAAGTGTGTGGGAAGAGACGGATTAGGAGTTTTAGGTAACAGGCGCACATACGCTCTCCGCCACAGAGAAGGAAATGTGCCAGACATGAGAGAAAAGTTAACAATATGGGAGATAGCGGGAAGGAGGTGGACCAGCAATGTGGTGATCATTTTCCGACTAATGCCATCACAACCAACTTCTTGGGATCTGATAGATTGAATAATCTTCTTAATCTCTCCTTCTGCAACCGGACTGAAGTGAAAAGCCAGAGCCAGACTGAGCTTCATACTAAAAAAAATTGATGCAATACTTTCTGAGCGGCCTGGTATCTGTTTAGCCAGATATATTGCATACTCTTGTTAACCTTATGACATGTTGCAAAAGAATAATAATTGAGAAATTGTTATTTAAATTAAGATATATACAAGAACATACTTGATAATAATGTATGTAACAACTCTTGTATCTATGTATCTATCTAAGCAGCCTGTTGCACCCACTGCTTTGTATAGGCCCCCTTCTCTATCACGCCATTCCTGGCGGTTTTGTGCCAGCCCGATCCATTGCTCTCCTACCGCCCTCACAATGTCGTCTGACCATCGGGCAGGTGGTCTGCCTCGAGGCCGCCACATATCTCTTAGCCGCCGTTCGGTAACTACCTTAGTCCATCGGTCGTCGTCTCGTCTAGCCAAGAGCCCTGCCCATCTCCACTTAAGCCTCGCAATCCGTATACCCACATCCTCAACTTTGGTGCGGCTTAGAATTTCAACGATTGGTATACGGTCTACGTTGGATACCTAGCATGGCCCGCTCCATGGCTCTTTGAGCAATCCTTATGGCATACGAGTACATGTGCTCATTTGTGAGAGGCCATGTTTCGGATAAATATGTGATAATAGGCAGAACACATAGGTTGAATGTCTTGGTTTCCAGACATTGAATACGCCTAGTAATTTCCTGCCCAGAGTTCCGGGTAAAGGATGACCAAGGCAAACATACTCATCTTCTGTCTCTATTGTGGTCATCAATGTTCATCCTGAGGTCGTCACTCAATGAAGCCTCATGCAATTGGGCGAGCATGATCTGGAGTTCTGCGGCGGACTCGGCAACGAGAATGAGGTCTTCAGCAAAACGCAAGTGTAACATGCGGCCGTTGATTTTAATGTCTTTCTCCTCCCAATCCAAAGTTTTCATGATGTCCTCCAAAAGACACGTGAAGAGTTTGGGTGAGATCGTGCCCCCTTGACGCACTCCACGGCTTATAAGGTCATATAACTTACGCATACGTACTTGCATTTTTGCAGACTTATAGAGCTCCCGTAGCATGTTCACCTAGCGCTTGTCAATATTAGAACGATGGAGAGAGTGAAACACCGCCCAGTGTTCAACGTGCTTTTTTATAATCGACAAAGGCAAAACATAGTGGTCTGTAGTTTTCCAATAGTGTTTTATCGCCTTTCTTGTGCAGGATCAGAAGGCAAACCCAATTTCGTTTTCAAGTATGTGCTCAGTATCCAAAAGTTCAATTGGGATTGCTCGAAGATATTGCATTTGGCGAATCTGGTTTAATTTCTTTGGACGAATATAACTCCATGTGATAATCTTCAACTGTTCGAATAATGCCATCTCGATTTATCAGAACTTTATCTGTCCTATTTTAAGTGGAGATCGGCTTTCTCCTTGACAAATCCGGCCTTTTGTTAAAGCCAGTGGAACGGTCGTTCAATAGTGGCCAGGTAGCAAGGGACAACATCAAGTGTGAAGTAATTTCGGAAGTCACGACAACAATTAGTTCATCAATCTTTCTAAAATTTATTTTCCAACTAAATCAAAGTTGTCAGGGAAGAAAAGAACGTAAGGTATTCTATATTATTTTCCATACTTCTGACAACTAAGTATTTTAGTGCAAAAATTCATGATAAGCGGTTGAGGAGATCAGGTGGACAGAGTAACAAACAAAAACACACATTCTCAGTTTTAATATAGTCAGGATTTCAAGCTTTCAGTTCAGTATAATTGTATTTCCAGTTTGGAAATATAATTATACTGAACTGAAAGCTTCGCTACCTAAGAGGCCTGTAAGAGATTCTTGGTTTACATTGATTGTGGATTAAGGCCGGCGTTTTATATAGAGCTGTGTTACAAAGTAATTAGGCACGCTTGGACTTCAGTTTTATACAGACCTCCATACGTCGCGACAACTGCCATTCACGAGTTGTTGGCCGGGAGGACAGTTGGAAGGAGCGACAATTATATTTCTAGAGCCATGAAGAATGCTCCACAAATCATAGCATCGTTGATTTACCAAGACCTGACCGGGTCTACAGTTTGGAGGTGCTACTATCACATTTTTTACCTCTTCAGCGGATTCTCTGAAAAAAAACAGGAATAAATTGTATCAAATATTGTTATTTTTATTATCTTAGTACGAATATAAATAAATGTATTGAATACTTTAATAATGTAAGCCTCGTTAATAATCATCATCAATACAAATAAATATAATTGAAGTGTCTGTTTGTAATGTCAAAATAGTAGACTTTTTCATGCTCACGCGGTTATTTGCACGATACTTCTGCCTAAAAACCAGTTAAAAAAAATATTAGTCAGTCTGTCTTTCGGTCTGTCTGTTTGTTCCGGGTAATCTTCAAAACGGCTGGGCCGAACTGTCTATATAAGGAGTGATTTAGGCTATTTTTATCACAGAAAAACCCTATAAAATTTTGCTCAGTCCGGATCCATCGAACCCGAGGCCTCATGGACACCACTAAGGCAGCGCTTTTCCAATTCACCGCGAACAAAGTCGTGGGCACCAGCTAGTTTCAAATATAATTTGTAGGTTCTATCGTGAATATAAACTATTCAGGGATCTACACAAAAAAACAAATCAGAATTCTAATAATAATTGTTGCCGAGCTATCGAACCTTTTGGTGTCTCCAAACCATCTACGAATTCACTCAAACACGCTTGAGTGGTTTTATTTATAAGTAACTCTATTTGTGGGCGTTTGAGTAAAAAAAAGGAAATAATGCTGTCACAAATTTGTCTTTTTCAGTAAAAAAATTGCTTATTAACCTTTAAAAACCTAGTAAACTTTAAAAATACATTACGGGGGAGATTCTTGGTTTGTAGGAAATATTTTCATTTTCTATTTATCTATATTATCCGATTACTTTTTTTTTTATGTTAGAGGTGGCAGACGAGCAGACGGATCACCTGATGGAAAGTGACCACCGCCGCCCATGAACGTCTGCAACTCAGGAGTCACAAACGCGTTGCCGGCCTTTTAGGAAGGAGTACGCTCTTTTCTTGAAGGTTTGAAGTTCGTATCGGTTTGGAAATACCGCAGAAGATAACCCGTTCCACAGATTGGTTGTGCGGGGCAAAAATTGTTTCAAAAAGCGCACAGTAGTGGAGCGCCAGGTAATAAGGATGAAAATTTTGCCGTGTGGAACGATGACGGACATTTGCGGCTGGTATTGGTTCGAACAATTCCTAGGAGCACTCTCCATGATATATGTGATAGAGAATGCAGAGTGAAGCTACATCTCTACGTAACGCCAACGAATCAAGCCGGTCGCAAATCTTTTGGCTATCGACGATTCGCTCTTCGTTGGATGCGGTCCAGAGGGAAAAGCTGATACTGAGGTGCCCCTGCATAGAGATGGGAACATTTTTGCCGATGCATGGCTCTCCCACGTTACCTAAACAAAATCAACCGATTTGAATTTTTTATTTGATTTAAAGTGTATTTTCTATTTGGACTAATTATCATCAGGTCAGAATGATAAGGTGCTGGAGAAATCGAGAGAACTCTTGAAATATTAAATGCGATTTGGGTATTTTAAAGCAATTCTAGATTTACTCTTGGATAATGAAATGAAAAAATTGAAATGAATAAATGACGGGCTTCTTGGTCTGACTGCTAAGAGGTCGTGGAATCGATTCCCAACCAGGACAAATATAGTGTGATGAGCACGTTCATTTGTTCTGTGTCTGGGTGTAATTGATCTATAATATATGTATATTTTTAGAAATATATAAGTATGTTTAGTTAGTACCGGCTCTGACTAGTTTGGGATCAGAAGGCTAATTCTGTAATAAAAGGTTGGTCACAATTCAGGTCCTATCAACTCTCGATCTCACAACTATCATACAAGGTATTTTCTAGGTAAAATATTAGGTCTTTACCTGTGAAGTTGGAGATTTGTATGAAAATATTGAAATATTAACATTTGGGTTTTTTTTTTTATTTTAGCTAATCATACTAGTGGTCCAAATTATCTATATAATTTTGCCATTTTGATGGTAATTTATTAATTATCCCTTTACCTCTACCTGTGTTACCTGTAGAAGTCTGCTGCACGAAAGGAGATGAAGTCAGTGAAAGCGTTTTGTACTGACTCTCAGGTGTTGATTTTTTTTCACACTTAAAATTTTTTTAAATAAAAAAAAAGTAGAAATTTGTTGCAAAGTCTGGTGACTACAGTGGGTGACGGAGAGCTTCCAACTGTAACTCTTGTAGCTTTGCGATGGTCTGTCGTGAAGTGTGAGCGCGTTGTCGTGGAGAAGCAATGAAGAAGAGCTATTGACCAGCTGTGGTTGTTGAATTTCGAGCTTCTCTATCATTGCTTGCAATTCATGGCATGATGTACAAGTCCAGCACTGGTCTACGAGACAGTCACCATCATCTTCCTATGGGTTATCTTTTTAATTGGGTAACTAATTAGGTGCTGTACCCGGGTTCATCCACTTAGACGAACGCTTACGGTTGTCTTAAAGGATCAACTTTTCAATTCACTTTTCAACAATTCGATTCAGAATTCCCTCGCTTCTATGCCGATTCAGTAGTGCTGTGCGCGATTCGCGCAGCACCCACTTATCTATCTTTTTTATCTTTCCGATTTGACGCAAGTACTTCAATGTCGTTTTGACACACCCTCCAAAGCCCGCAGTAAGCTCAGCCGTAGATTGAGTTAGATCCGCTAAAAACTACCATAATTTCACAAAAACAAAACACTATCGAAAATAAATTAGTGAATTTTAAATTAAAATAACAAAAATTGAATCGGTAATTTTCTAGTCGTCATAATACTTTATTACGAAAATATCTTTTATGACAGTTGAGAGATCGAGATTTTATTGGAACTGAATCCGAACTTTTATCACGAGAATTGGCATTCAGACTGCCGTGTATGAGATGTGTGAAGTTGTTATTAATGTTATTATTAAATATTTAAAATCGCCTTCAAAAGGGATTTTTTTTCTGCTTTTTGTTTTGTTCATTGTTGACCGATTATATATATTTGTTTAATTGGATTAGAAAAGTTAAAATATTTTTATGTCTTTAAGGGTGGTTATCTAAGGCTATCATGATTTTAGCACATTAGTGATGGTGAAAGTTTGTTTAAAAATTATTATTGATATCCTTGCCTCCTAAGGCTCTTGCAATCAGGAGTGATTAGGTATATTTAAGTATAAAAAAATAATGCTGATAATCGACTATAATAATCTATGTTAGGTATGCACGTAAGCTTCAGTAAGTTGTAATCTAAAACTCGGCTGATAAAAAGGTGAATTAAAAAAATCAAAAGGCCCGAATACTACGTAGCATTAAGTATTAAAAAGAATAAACAAGTACATATAAAACATACATATAAAAAGTAGATATAAAAAGGAATAAACAAGTAGATATAAAACTACAATATTCTAGTCAGTAGATGGGATACACTATAAGTAAGTTTGTAAAAAGTCCTATACTATACAGGTCACGCTTTCCATCCTTTTAATTTTAAATTCTTAGTTATGATTAGGGGATTTTGTCGTTTCTTACGCGAGTTGGTGTCCTGGGGATTATTACGGTTTTGGTACAAACTATTGATTAATTATTGATCCATTTAGATACCTGAATAGGTCACACCTCTACGTGGGTCTAATCTTTCGCAAAAATGCATAAACTTAAACAACCACATCTAGTTTCAAGGTTGTTTCTTGTAACTTATTTAGTAAAGTCACCTTAGCACAATATTTTTGGCGACACCTTTCTTACTTCCGTTGCTCATTTGAGAAGACTAACCTGAGCTATCATCTGAGAGTCTGGGGAGGCTGTTACTGATGAAATTAGTTTTATCAAAAAGTGCTGAATATAAAGGCAAAGGCAGATCTCTTAGAACAAGTTATTTATTGTTTTATTTTTATTATGTGTTATGTATGCAAAGTATATTGACAAGGATGTAACAGATTTTTCTAGAATACACTGTTGAAAATTCCATAATATATATCTAAGGATTTGGTTTAAAATATATAACTAATTTAGATTTTTTAAATAAATCATATTGCTTGATGCATTGACCAGCCAGTTTGCGCAAATCGTTCCTGTAAGGTGACCAAAGTAATGAAATTTAGATAAAAATAAAATTATATTACTTGTAAATGAAATATTTTAGATAATATAGGTTTATACGGCCATGCTTGGATAGACAATTGTAGACAATGCAATTTACACTATTTGTAGCAATGCATGATGACTACTATATCCGTGGGTTGAGTACTGTACTTCTAGACTACTGAGCAGCCTGTGATAAGAGCCATTGTATTGATAATATAACTAAAAATATAGCCCTCTTTATGGACATAAATTAACATACTACGATTGACAATGGCCTTTTAATTTCAATGCGATGCTATCATGCCATCAGTGGTCAAGAGCTGAACTGAAACAGATCATTCCAACGAGTGTTTTTAGACTATATAGAACTGCGCATCTGCATTAGTACCAGCAGAGATTGGGAAACATAAGAAATATATGGGTGGGAATCATACTTGAGTGTGACGTGAGGCGGGTAATTTTCGAAGCTTGATGATAAATACACAACACTCGTAATAGATTTTATATTTTTAATACATATATAGTTTTTTTTTTAAATTGTGCAAGAACTACGATTACGTTTTCGAATGGCATTTCAGACAGATTCCAGAATATACTCATGAAACATGCGCATCTTTTCAGGTTTGGAGCTATAATGGGTCCCACACACCTTCACAGTTTTATCGCATAGATAAAACTGTGTAGCCGAATAGTGTAAACTATAGAAATCGTAATATTAAGACTTATTATTACGATTTCTGTGGTGTAAACAAACACGTGTGGGCTACGCGCGTTCGATTTTAACACGCTTTTATTAGCTTGGTATGTATGTATCTATGTATATGTTACCGGCAATCTGTATAATTCAGGTATTCTATACAATACCTAGGTAATGTATAGAATATCTAAGACGCATAGGCAATGTATGAAATATTATGAATATTATTTTTCATTATGTACTTTACCTAGGTAATGTATACAATTCCTAGGTATTGTATAGAGTA